CCCAGGTGCCACTGGCCCCTTTCCCACCTGGGCACACCTGGATTCATGCACAGCCTCTGTCTCCAGCACCCCCAGGGCTCTTCCCAGTTTTCCAGCCCCTCTGGTGTGACCCAAGGGCAGGATGCAGCCATTACTTCTCTTTCCTCCCATTTAGAGGGTGAAGAGGCTTTTACACTCCAAATGCTCAGCTGACAGCAGGCTTTGTGTCAGGGAGGATTGAGAGGGAAAGACAGAGGCTTAGAGCATCCAGAAAAACTCAATTTCCACTCTGCAATCAAACCGACAAAGTGCGTCCTTAAATATTTGATGCGATCACAATCTGTGCCATATTTCAGATAAGCATCAGATCGTTAGCCAGCAGGTTAGAAAAGAAAAGGGGAAAAAAAAGGTAAAACCTTCTCAAGTAGCATTTCTGTGAGACATTGGGAATATTTCTCTGAGACTTGATACAGAGGACAGAAGAATGTCCTTAGGAAACTTCTAGATGAGAGCAGATAAATTCCCATTGAAGTGTCACAATCAATGTTTTCTATCAAAGATGCTCCAAAAGGCTTTACATCTGAAGAACTGAGTTAATGGAAGATATTTAATTAAGACTATGATTTTCTTGCATAATAATAATCCTGAATGTAGGAGGGAAGCTGTGAGCTGCGAGCCTTTCCTGTCTGACCAGCCTGATCAAAGGACATTGCATATGCACAGAGAGCACAATGTATGCAGCAGATTGTGCCACAATGAATCTTGGAGAAGAATGAAAAATTTCCTCATCTAAAAAGTGCAAGAAGTGAAAGTTGGAAGAGAGATTTTTTTTTTTTTTTGTCCAAAAAAAAATAATCCAATCCAGTTTTCTTAAATGCAAAAGATATGATTTGGTATTTTATCTCCTAAGCCACATACACAATCTTATCATCTGCATTCTGCAAAATTATAAATATGGAGTTAATATACGACTTTGTCTAGGGCTGTTCTCCTCCTCGAAAGCTGAATTCAGTATTTAGAGCTCATTATTCAACATCACATCTATTAAACAATGCCCTTTCAGTGGGGTTTTCATATCTACATAATGAAAATTCTTCCTCTTCAGAAAAAGATGAGGGAGATGATTGGGATAAGAAGTAATCCAGGCTGGCCAGGTGTACTCCTGCTGTGCATTAACTCACTGCACTCATCCCATGGGACACATCTGCATTCAGCACTGAAGAGGCACTGCAGGAAATGTCACAAAGGAAATCAGGCTGGGGAAATGCACATTTCCAGCTCCAGGGAACAGCCAGACATGGGGACAGCCACGTGCACCACGAGGAGCCACAGGGGACCGTGGAGGAGCTGGAGCTGGGAGAGCCTGGCATCCTGGGGTCCCAGGGAACAGCCTCAGAACTGCCCTCACCTCCTGGTTAGGGCCAAAACCAAAAAGTTTTGGTTTTGAAGACCACGAGGGCACAGCCAGTGGCTCCATCAGAAGTGGAGAAGCTGGAGAAGAGCCCAGCTGGCCCAGAGGATGCTCAGGGGGTCTGTGCCAGGCACACACCCAGGCTCTGCTGCACGCCTGGAACACCCCTGGTGTGGGCAGAAGGTGGGACTGTGCCCTGTGTGAGGCTGTGCCTGAGCCAGGCTCTAAACTCAGCCCTAAACCCAGACCTGCAGAGTAAGGCTGGCTCAGACATGGGCTGCAGGAGTTCCTGCTGTGGGTCTCAGAGCCCAGCACAGCAAGGGGAAGGTGCTGCTCCCTCCCTGCTGATCTGCTCCTCCAGGAGGTGGCCAGGCACAGCTCAGGGTGAGCCTCACAATTTGCCAGCTCTGTCCTCCTGGCTCAGCCTTGGTTTGGGTGGACTCTCCTGCTCTCAGGAAATGGCTGGGCATGAGCAGGGCAGGACCCTGCAGGTGGCTCTGGTTTGGGAGCTCAGGGGAATTTTACTGTGTGCACTCAGGGCAGCAAACAACTGCTGGCTCATCTCACTGCTGAATCTGGGTACAGTCTATGTCACAGACATCTTTTCTGAAAATCCTTTCCTTGGGATCTTTCCTCCTGAAAAGCTGAGAAGCCTCAGGAACAAAATGTAAACAATTATTATCTGCTGCTGTAGAATGCTACAGGTTCATTTGTGATTGGTCTCATGTGGTTGTTTCTAATTAATGGCCAATCACAATCCAGCTGGCTCAGACAGCCTTTGTTATCATTCCTTCCTATTCTGTTCTTAGCTAGCCTTCTGATGAAATCCTTTCTTCTATTCTTTTAGTATAGTTTTAATATAATATATATCATAAAATAATAAATCAAGCCTTCTGAAACATGGAGTCAGATCCTCATCTCTTCCCTCATCCTAAGACCCCTGTGAACACCGTCATAAGTCTGAAAAACCAAGCAAAGACCCAAAAAAAAGACCCTAAAACCAAATTACATCATTTCACCATCATGCTCAGAGAAGAGCCATGACAGGAGCTGTCTGACCAAGAGCAGCTCAACAAGACAGCCTGCCTTCACACAAGGTTCAAAGGACCTCAGAGCATCCACGCAGAGATGAATTCAGAGAACACTCACCCTCCAAAGGACAGTCTCTGCATGGATTCTGTGTTCATTCAGTCACACAATGAGAATTCCCAAGTGGCATTTGCACCTGGCTGTGGCCACGGCAGCACTGTGCTCTAAGGTGTGTCCACACATTTCCTGGTGAGGAAAACACCAGCCAAGCCAGGAGACACAGTCAGCTGTGCATGGACAATGTGCATCCACACATTTCCTGGTGAGGAAGCCACCAGCCAAGCCAGGAGACATGGCCAGCTGTGCATGGACACAGAAAAGGCTTTCGGAAGTACCAACAGAAATAAAAACTTTCAATGCAGACTCTGGGAACACAGAGGGGGAGAACAGCACAACAGGCTGCAATAAAGGAAATTGAAAAGAGACAGAAAACCTCATTATAGGAACAAAAGAACACTTTTGCCTTCTCCAGGGATCGCTGCTAAGCCCCAGCAAATGAGAGGCCTTAGGACTGAAATGACCAGCTCCACTGAGCACCAAAGGCAGGGGCTCAGCAAAGGCACTGCTTTAATTAAATGACAGAACTCTGTGCCCTTCCTGCTCTCAGCTAATATTCAGTAACCCAGAGGCAGGGCTGGCACCGAGGCAATGACTGTGCCCGTTCTAACACCTCCCCTGCTCCAGAGCCAGGCAAAGCTCCTCCACAGGTGCCATTGCCTCCCACACATCTCACTGATGAACAGAACCAAGCTCAGAGCAGCTCTCCTCAGCCTTTAGCTTGAATTCAATTCCTGTTTCAGCTTTAAAGAAGCACCAAAGAGCCTGAAATGTGCCTGTTTTCCCAGATCTCTCAGCAGATATAATTAAAGCTATTCCCTTTCCCTACAAACCACCTCCTTCTGGCCAGGATTTCTTCATCCAGGGGTGAATACCAAACTTCCCTGGCACACAGTTACAGCAAAAGGCTCTGTGAAACTTTGTGCTGAACTTGATAGAAGCTGGAAAACTAAATCATAAATGAGAGTTTCCTAAATGAGATGCTCCAGCACCACGAGCTGCAAACAGTCAAGCAACTGCAAAGGATTATTGGCCTCTATATATTATTAATCAAGCCCCAACAATAAATAATAAGTCAAGTCACACAAGGCCAGTTGCATGCCCAGAGCCCTCAACATTTAATGAGGTTTCCTTGGAAGTTAATGTGCCCAAAGTGGGAGGCTCAGAATGGGCCACAAATATCAATATTGATTTCTTCTGGCACTATCTTGGCCAGAACCCCCTGGCAAAAGGAGTCCTTTGGGCTGGAGCATTTGCAATGTTTCTGTGAAAACTTAGCAGAAATGCTAAATTTCACTTTGAATTTGAAATATAAATCTGAAGCGTACTTTGTTCAAGCTTTGTTGAAGAAACAATTTATTATAGTATTTAATCTTCTTGATATAAGAAAAGGAGATTTTAGCCTGCTAATAAACTGTGTAGAATCCATGACTAATTAACCTAATTATAGCAGTCTGTGACAAAATATGATTTTACTAAACCCATGCCTCAAGTAACTAGAATTGCCAAAACCTCAGAGGTTAATAAACCAACAGACATCAACACAAACACTAATAAAAGTTGACACCATATTATTTATAGCAAAATCAATAATACAGTCATCACAAAAGGCAATCTGAAGGGTATTTGGTATCTGATAATGCAAAATTCACAATCAGAAAGTCCTGAAATTCATAAAATTAGTGCAGATTACTAGGCAGTGACTCTTGTGCAGTTCCTGGGGCCATCAGATGAAGGCTGAGGACACCTGAGGTGTGCAGCACACCTGGAAACCTTCTCATGAACAGCAGTGTGGTGTTTGTGAGGTGTTCAGGATCAGGTGAGAGATGAGAATCTCACTCCAAGTTCACAAAAGGCTGATTTACATTATATTACATTACATTACATTATATTATATCTATACTAAAGATCAATCTATACTCAAAAGCAGTGTTGGACCTGCAGAACTCTCCATGTCTGTGGCCTTTTTGTGCTGCCCCTCAAAGGCAGACATGTGTTCAACAAATGCCACAAGAACCCTTGTCACCATGATATTTTCTGAAAAATCCCTTCACCAGGATTTCTTTTCCTGGCAAGATGAGAAGCCTCAGCTTCTCCATGTTTTGCTGTTCTGGAATGTGGTCTGGAGATTGTTTATCCAAACATGTGAATTGTTTTTAATTAATGACCAATCACCATCAGCTGTGTCGGACTCTGAGGAATCAGTCATGAGCTTTCATGATCGTTCTTGCTAAGCCTTCTGATATATCCTTCCTCTTTCTTTAGTATAGTAATATATAATACGATATGATATGATACATGATATGATATGATTGATATATAATATATATATAATATATCAGCCTTCTGAGAGCATGGAGTCAAATTCTCATCTCTCACCTCACCCTGGAGACCTCACAACACCACAGACCTCTGAAGGGTTTTTAGAGGAGATAAAGGGAGCTGATTTCTATGGATCAGGTACCTTGATTCCTCCCCAGGCAAGGTCAGACAGGAACTCCACAGGGCTTGTGACTCCAGGCTGTGCTGGGTATCTGAGCAGGAAATCCAGTTCTGCTGGTTCAATTTCTTTATTCATCAGAAGTATCTGTAATTCCAAACAAACAAGATATCCTAGAGCAGCAGATTAATTATTCCATTAACTTGCTTGAAAAATGTGTGGCTGAAATGTAGAGTGCCCTGTGCTGGAGAGGTGTGATGGACACATCATGTAGGTGCTCTGGGTGTCCCAAAAGAGGACCAGGAATGAGTGTGGAGATTGGCAAGAGAAAAAAAGTTGGGAAAACCATGTGGTAAAGGCTGAGTTCCATATGGGTGGAGAGCACCCGGAGGAGAAGGTCCTGGCAGCAGAACCAGATTGGACAAAAAAATAAAAATTATACAACCGCTGTGGACATGGGACAGCAGCACTGCAGCAGGCGCTTCTTTAGGTTCAGTGCAAGAGCCCCTCCAGGCCAGTTTGCTTTGCCATTTTCTGCAGGTCCTGCAAGCAGGAATTTCTCAAATAACCTTTGTCAGTGTAATTCAAATCCAGCACAGCATCTGTGCCTGTTATTGGCAGGAATAAATCCTGTGAGGAGCAGCTGAGGGAGCTGGGAAGGGGCTCAGCCTGCAGAAAAGGGAGATCAGGGGGAAATTCTGGCTCTGCACAAGTCCCTGCCAGGAGGGGACAGCCCTAGGTTGGGCTCTGCTCCAGGGAACAGGGACAGGAGCAGAGGGAACGGCCTCAGGCTGGGCCAGGGCAGCTCAGGGTGGGCACAGCAGGAATTTCCCCATGGAAAGGGAGTTCAGGGATTGGAAATGCCCAGGGAGGGTTGGAGTGCCCATCCCTGGAGGTGCCGAGGAATTCCTGGAGGTGGCACTGAGTGCTCTGGGCTGGGGACAAGGTGGGGATCAGGCTGGACTCAGTGGTCTGGGAGGGCCTTTCCAGCCTGAATGATTTCGTGATTCCCAGAGAGACAGAGAAGACAATCAAGCCCCTGCATGGGCTGCTCTGGCAGTGAAGCCTGGCACACAGGGTGTTGCTGGTACCTGGAAGGTGAGCTGGGCAGTGAAGGTCAGTTTGTCCCTCTCGAAGAGCCCCCGGGCTGTGTACTGGAACACGGAGAAGGTGATGCTGTCTGTGAGGCTCAGCACCCGCCCTGCCAGGCTCTCAGCAGGGGCTGCCCTCTCCATGGCCTTCTGGAACACCCCCTGGAATGCCTGGGAGGGGAGACACAGCAGGAAGGAGCAGTGAGAGATGCCCTTTGCACACCCCTGGGGTGTCACAGTGATGCCAGCTCAGGTCCTGCCCCTCAAGGAACACACAGAGACCAAGCAGCCCCTGGCTCTGCCTGGCAAAGGTGACACCACCTGGCAATGGTGACATCCCCAGGAACACCTGGCAGTAGTGACATCCCCTGGGACCCCAGAGGGCACAGGGAGCTGCCACACAAGGGTACAGGAGATGTTTCTGTGCCCAGTGTGCTCCCTTTGGGATGGCACACCCACGTCCTCTGCAAACAGAGCCAGCAGAGAGTGGAGCTCCCAGGAAAGGGGGAAAAACTCCATGGGGAAAACTCCAACACAAACCCATCCAGTGCCACCCCTGCCATGTCAGGGACACTTTCCACTGTCCCAGGCTGCTCCAAGCCCTGCCCAACCTGGCCTTGGGCACTGCCAGGGATCCAGGGGCAGCCACAGCTGCTCTGGGAATTCCATCCCAGCCCCTCACCACTCTCCCAGGAACAATTCCTAATTCCCAATGTCCCATCCATCCCTGCCCTCTGGCAGTGGGAGCCACTCCCTGTGCCCTGTCCCTCCATCCCTTGTCCCCAGTTCCTCTCCAGCTCTCTTGGAGAGCATTGGAAGGGGCTCTGAGCTCTCCATGGAGTTTTCTCCAGCTCTCCCAGCTGGCTCCATTGAAGGGCTCTTGGATCATATCCATTGTCTCTTCTGGACCTGCTCAATCATGCCCACACCTTTCCTGTGCTGAGGACCCCTGAGCTGGACACTACTCCAGGAGGGGTCTTAGCGGAGTGGGGCAGAGGAGGAAAGTACATCTCCCACTGCACAAATATTTCAACTCAGAGAAGAGCAATTCCTCAAAAAAATAAATTAAAAAAAAATGGTAAAAATAAAAATATTTTTTTTTTAAGTCCCATGAGTGTTTTACTGTCTGGATCCAGCAAAGGACTGGCTGAGGAGGGCAGGGAACAGTGAGCTGAAGCAGTCATTGAAGTCCCCTCTAGGGTGGGTGTCTGCATTGAGAATAACCCTCTTATATAAGAGGTTAAGGATTATTGCAACAACATTTCTGATCTAAATGAGAAAAGACAAACAAGTTTCAGAGTTGTCCAAATTAAAAGCACGGGGAAATTATCAAATACAGCTGGAAAGAGAAAATTAACAAGAGCATAAACCCCGAGCTCTGCTTAGAAATGCAAAGGCTCCATGTGCTGGGCCCAGCTAAAGGAAATAACCAGGCCAATATACAGTGATGGCACCAACTGTACAAGGCATGACCATGCTGGCAGCCTGATTTTTAGGGTTCTACAAAGGAAAAATGATGCCTTGACAAATTAAAGTAACACTGATACTGAATGCATTATTAAATAATTGCAGAATGCATTTTCCTGCTTAACGTTTCTTTAAATTGTGTTAAAACATGCTGCAGAGCAGCACATAAATCTTTGTGTTCTAATTTATAATGGGCTCCCAGCTGTGTGGCAAGTATTCTAAAATCATCCCTGTGCATCTTTACACAATGTTTTATGATCTGCCATCAAAATTTATTAGATAAAAACATTTCCCCCAATAATTTTCCATGTATATATACACACTGCTAATGTTCACTGGAAAACATAAAACAAACTAACTGCAGGAGACACAGATTAAAGGTGAAACCTCAGGAACCCCCAGATCTATTATGTATGTGAGAGGGATGAATCTTTCAAAAGGCACAAAAGATATTCTGTACATTTTTTCTGATAAAATTACTTCAACAAACGAGTTGTAGCTATCAAAAAGAAAAGCCTCTTTGTGGATGAGGCTCAACATTCTGTAGTGTCTCCTCAATTCCTTTTTCCAGGTCACTTGTCAAGGTAAGAAATCACTTGCAAGAAGCTGCAGACCAGGATGCTCATTTAACCCTCCATCCCCCAAAATACCTTTCTTATAGGAAAAAAAGTTTTCCATTTCATAGAACATTAAAGGTGCAACTTCTTCTAGGCAGGGTTTGGAGCAACCTGGGATGGTGGAAGGTGTGGAACAAGAAGGGGTGGAACAGGATGGACTTTAAACCCTTTCCAACCCCAAACTTGTGTGATTTGTGACTCTGTGACTGCAATTCTGATTTTATGGACTCCAGAAGCACAGGGCAGGTACCTTTAGGGAGAACTGAATTGTGATTTTATGGACCCCAGAAGCAGAGGGCAGGTACCTTCATGGAGAACCAAATTCTGATTTTATGGACCCCACAAGCAGAGGGCAGGTACCTTCATGGAGAACCAAATTCTGATTTTATGGACCCCACAAGCACAGGGCAGGTACCTTCAGGGAGAACTGGTACATGGGGTGGACGTTGTGCAGTTCGTTCATGGTGAAGTAGAGCATGGCAGCACGGCAGGCCGCGGGCCTGTACTGCTCCCTGGCCTCGTTAATCCTGCCTTCTGTCACCTTAAACTCCTGCACCTGCAAGGAAACAGCACAAATCCTGTCACAGCACCCCTGGTCAGTGCTCACAGCCCTGCCACACTTGTGGCAGCAGCTCCATGGCCAAAGACAGAAACACAAATTTCCCAGGCATCGTTCTGGAAAAAGGCTGAGAAAAAAATCAGAGAAAAGAATGAGAAACAATTCCTATCTTAACTTACTGCATCTGATATTGTGCACATGTGGAATGTGTTATGAAAATTTGTTTACCAAAAGGTGGTTTCTTAATTAACCAATGGTAATGGTGTTTTAACTACAGGACCAATCAATTCTGCCTGTATTGAACTAAGATATAAAAAGGAGCAATGGGTTTCTTAATTAAGATTATTAATCATTCTTCTGTAATATACAGAGTCTATACTAATTATTACCCATCTGGGAGCCTGTTGCAGTGATAAAGACTGGCCACAAAGCCATCAGGGCAAGCCACAAGTGACCACCATGGGACCAGGCTGGAGCTGCCCTCCCCAGCATCCTCTCCCTCTGGAACCTTCCATCTAACTGCATTTTCCACCCAGTTGCCCCATACCCAGTTTTCCTGACTTCTCCCTCTGTTCCCTGCTCTTTGCTGACTGGAATTCAATTTCTCGTTCATGAGTTTCTGGCGCTAATTGCCCCCCTCCTGTGCAGGCCATTAGCAACCCTGGGCTGAGCAGCCCCAGTGCTGCTCCAGGCAGCTTCCTCAGGGCTGAGAGCTGCTCATTTAGAGCAGCTCTTTGCTGCCTTTCCTCAGCAGCACCAAACCCCCCTGGGCAGGGCCCTGCAGCTGCTCTTATGGACATGTGAAAACCTCCTTGGCAGAACCATCACCTCACTCCTGTTTGTTCTTTCATTCCACCTCAGCAGCAAGAAGTGCCATCCCTGAGACTGCTGGGGTTTATTTTATTCCCTGGCTGAGGACAGACAGGTCTAACACCATGGCCAGGAGCTGCTGGGACAGTGCTGACCCACCCAGCCCAGCAAACCATGCCATGAGATCACAGAATCCCAGAAGGGACCCCTAAGCTCTTCTCATTCCACTCAGGGACACCTTCCACCATCCCAGGCTGCCCCCAGCCCTGTCCAACCTGGCCTTGGACACTGCCAGGGATGGGGAAGCTACAGCTGCTCTGGGCAACGTGTGCCAGGGCCTGCCCACCCTCACAGCCAAGAATTTCTTCCTAACATCTGATCTAAATCTGCCTATTTTCAGCTTGAAGCCCTTCCCTTTGTCCTACCCGTGCAAGAAGTGCCTGTCCAGCCCTTCCTAGGCTCCCTGTGGCAGAACAAGCCAGCAGGCACCCCAAGGAAGCACAGGATGAGTCTCAATCTGCTGTGGAGTCTGTGGGATGTTTGCACATCTCCATGAGCAGTGCTGGGCTCAGGAACAGTTCTGCCAAACCCAGAGCCAGAATTGGGCCAGACAGATGCTCTTCATCTGCAGAGCAGGGAGGATTTCCAAAGCAAGGAAAATGTTGGCTGCACACCTTTCTGTGGGCAGGCAAACCAAAAGGAGAGTGAGGCTTGACTTGAACCTCTAGCAGGGCTCTTCCACAGCATTCCAGGTGGGCACAAACTCATAAAATCCAGGTGCAAACTCTAAAATCCATGCCTTGTTGGCACTGCCGGCAGTGAGCAGCTGTACAGCACAGCTGGTTTGGAGGGTGAAGCACTTCCAAAACACCTACACCAAGGGGGAGATGCCAAGCTTTCCACACATCAAAAAATCCCCTCAACACCTCTTCTGGAGCTTCAAGAAACCCCTCCCCAGGGAGCTGAATGCACCTGATTGTTGCAGTATATTATTCCAATACCTGATGCACCATTTAGAGAAAATTATTCTGTTTTTTAATGGAGGGAGGATCACTCAATATCTTGGTCACTGGGACAGTTCTGGCATGGGAACCACACCTCCCAAATTCCCTCAGTGGCAAGGAGAAACCTCTGGGCATTTACCTAAGCCCCTGCAGCCAGCAAGGGCAGCTGGCAGTGCTCACACAAATGCTGATTTACACTCTGAGGAATAAAAGGGTATGAAATACCTGAGTTCTTTCAGATTTACTTGAAATCACAGACTCCAGTCCCTGGTCAGTACTAAAACCCAGCCTAAGAGGCAGTGTGATGTACCCAGGATTATGCTGGAACAGCTTAAAGCCGCCTTGATACAGTGTGTAAATTTTATTGTCTTCACATCAGGCACCACTGTTTTCTCTTGGTCTTAAATAGGTCATTTAACACAAAAAAAAGCTCCAAAGAACTAAATGGCCTGGAGCTCTCCAGAGTGAAGAGCATTTGCCATTTATACCAATTTCTACTCCCTGCTCAACAGACAGAGCAGAGATGGGCAGAGCAGAGGTTACATAAAACCCAGAAATCCTTAAAGGAGCACAAACATGCTTTTCTCCAGGCTATCAGTGTCTTTGTACCTTCTCCACTATCTCTGCAGCTGTCCTCTTAGTGCTCTCCAGGTTCTCCACCAACGCTGTGTCTCCCAGGAAATTCGCAGATGCCGATGACAGCCGAGAGAGCAAATTGTCCTCCAACGTTTTCAAGGTGATCTTGAATTCATTCTGTTGCTTTGTGAGATCTGACTGCAAATAATAAATCCAGGAAGCTTTAGCCATAAAGGATGTGGTAAATTAAGGATGAATCAGCTTCACATGGGAACAGGCTTCCCACTGACAATTGCCATGGCCCAGCAATGCTGATTCCTGCTCTCCTGGGAGTGGACAGAGCTCTGGGGTCTGGGATCAATCCTTATCCAACAAGCATAGAAAGCACCTGGAACAGCACAGAAAGCACCTGCAACTGCACAGAAAGCACCAGGAGAACTGATACGGGTTTCTAGAAATGTAAGAAAACACTGGAAATGAATCAGGAATAAAAGACCTTTATCCCCATCTCAAAACTCATATCCTGTGTCTTTGCAGCTCGTTTCTTGGGATCAAGCCAGCCTGGAGAGTCCCAGCTGCTCCTCACCCCTCCTGCTGAAGCTCTGCCCTCACCACTCCAGCCCACAGCAGTCCCACCAGACATGGGGAACACAGGGTTAAAACCTGGTGGCAAAACCAGCAGTGAAATCCTTTGGGTACCAATGTGAGTACAGGGAAATCTCAGGCTCACAACTGACCGCGTCTCCTGTCCTGCTCCCATTTCTATCCTGCCCTCAGGGTCCCACTGCCACCAGTGGCTTACTGGGCTAAAACTGAGAAGAAGAGGCAGTTCCAACCCAGGCCAGGCAGAAAATGAGTGAGCACATGCAGTAAACTTATTCCCACTCTCAGAAAATATTTAGGATTATTCGTATTTGTTACACTGTTAAAGCTGTCGTCAGAAAGGAGGATTTTCTTTATAAAATTGCCTTGAAATTAAAGCTGTACTTGTTAAGAGAGAGAGAGAAAATATTTTGGCCTGTTACAAAGTGGGAGGAAAAACCAGAAGAGAAAAATATCATTTCCAGCCTCACAATATTTACAGAGAGAATCCTTTACCACAAATGCTGAAAATAAGCGAGATTAATCCTGCTTCCAAAATTAAATCTGTGAAGTCCAGAAAAAACCCGAGGCAATGAGAAACTCAGCTTTCAGTCACCAGAGGAGGAGGAAAATAAAAAGAATTTTTTGGAGAAAAACCTTGAAAATTAAGTACAAGGGTTCTCAAAATACCAAGAAAAGAGAAGGGTGAAGGGGGAAAAAGCCCCTCAATGTCTGTCATACAAGGGAAATCTGATTTTGTGAGGAGCTCAGCAACGTCTGCAAGCTGGCATATGAAACGTTGCTTGTTAAAAACAAAAATTAAAAAATACCAATAATAAAAATATAAAAAAAAAAAAAATTATGATAATGATGATTATAACACTTGCTCCCAGTGTAAATTCCCAGGTGCTGACCTTCAGCTCCTTCAGGTCAGGTCTCTCAGTGTAGACCAACAACAATAATAACAACAATATCAATAACAGTATCGACAATTAAATTCTAATTATAATTATAATCATTAAATTATAAGTATAATAATGATGCTGCTGATGATTTCTACATGCTCCCAGAGTAAATTCCAAAGGTCTGACCTTCATCTCCTCCAGGTCAGGCCTCTCAGTATTGACCAACAACAACAATAATAACAACAATACTAATAACAATATCAATAATTAAAATCATTATAATTAAATTCTATGATGCTGATGATGATTTCTACTTGCTCCCAGAGACAATTCCCAGGTGCTGACCTTCAGCTCCTCCAGGTCAGGTCTCTCAGTGCAGACCAACAACAACAATACTAATAACAATATCAACAACAATATCAATAATTAAAATAATTATAATTAAATTCTAAGTGTAATAACAATGCTTCTGATGATTTCTACTTGCTCTCAGAGACAATTCCCAGGAGCTCACCTTCAGCTCCTCCAGGTCGGGTCTCTCCAGACGCACCACGGCCGCCAGCAGCTGCTCCTCGAGGCCGTCGCGGGTGACAGAGAAGTTGATGAGGGTGCACTGGGCCTGCAGCTCGGGCTGGAAGTGGGGGTTGGCCAGCTTGGTGTGCAGGATCAGACGGAAGGCAGGGTGCAAGGCACACTCCTTGTCCCCAATCTTGATGTACCTGGGGTTTCAGCAGAAGGAGCATCAGCCAGGAGCTGTCACCACAGCACACGCGGTGGTCTCAGTCAGTGGCAGCACCAGATACTTGGCACTCCTCACAGAAATCATGATTTAATTCATACTGGGCATGCTTAAATCAATTCTGATTTAAGGTGAAAACCCCAGAGAGTCTCTCCTCAATTTTGGATCCTGTTTAAGGAAGCTCAGATTTTCCAGCAGTGGCACAGCCAGTCCAACAAACCATGAACTCTCCTGGCTTTAGGCAGAGGCTGAATTCTCCCAAAAACAGGGAGGAAAAGCCTCTCAGCCTCGAGCTTTTCACTGGTCACAGCAAAAATTACCCAGAGTGTTGGCTCTGAGCAGGCCAGCTCTGCAGCTGCACTGAGCTTGACAAGTGGAGGGTGGTGGCTGCCATTCCCAGGAGGTGCCATCAGCCAGGAAAACCCAGCATCCTCCTGCTCTGCACTGCTGACATGCAGTCTACAGCTCACAGGGACCCCAGGAAATTCCAACATTCTCTGAACCCAAGTTTTACCCAGCCCAGAAATCCAACCATGTCTTGGGCTGTATCCAAAGGGGTGTGGGCAGCAGGGTCAGGAGGGGATTCTGGAGAGGCCTGGAAACATGAAACCCTTGGATTTCCTTTGTGGTTTATGACTTATTTTCCCTTTGTTAACAAACAAACACATGATTTCACAGGGAGACTTGAGAGCAGATATGCACAAAAGGGGATGCCTGAGTGTTCCACTGGAGGGGGACTCAGATTTGCCACCCATCCTCCTGCATCCCCCTCTCAACATCCTCCAAACATTTCAATCCTGCCCTGGGACCAATCCTGCCCCTCCATCCTCCATCCTGCAGCCAAACCCATGCTCAGCCACCCTTCCCAGGACGTTTTCCCCAGCAAACTCTGCAGACAGCTTGCCTTGCCCACCACTTCACAACAGCCTGGGATGTTTTAGGCAAGCAGGGAAATAACTCTCAAAGAACTTAAGGGAAAAGAGCCCCCTGGCTGCCTCCCTTGCTGATCTCCTCTCAGCTGGAGGTGACCAGCAGCTGCCATGACAACTTGACCTCATTAAGAAACACTTGATGCTGAAATCTGTAGCTGCATTTCTAAGCACTGTGCAGTGTTTGCTAAAATTCAAGGCTGCTTTTACTTCACAACCCAGCAGCAGCTATTTTGGTAATAATTTGGTGTCAGAACAGCCAATTACAGACCCCAAGGTCAGTGTACAATGGGAGAATTACAGGTCTCTCTTTTACACGAGGTTTGAACGATGCTGTGAAATGAAATGAGAAATCTGGGTTGATTTCCAAGCCATCCAATGGCTGAATTACCTGTGATTGCCTGATTAAAAACACCCTCTCTGCTGAAGGCAGGATGTTAGTGCTGCTGGATGTGAACACCCACAGTGTGAGGGCAGGAACAGAGAGCACAGAAGCCCCCATCCATACATGTCCCCAAGCCCCCTGAACTCACCTGCCTTTCTTGATTGTTTCTCGCCCCAGTAATGGCCCCAGCACAGGATCCACGGATTCCTCCAGGTTCTCAATCAAAACCAGGTCTCCAGCAGCCAGGGCTTGCTCCAGTGTGTCCAGATACCTGTGGGAAAGAGCACTGGTGCTTCCTGCAGCAGAGCAGGATGTGACACTGTCAGTGAGGAGGGGATAGAGGGGACCCTCATTACGGTGGCATCTACAGGTGGGTGCCAGCATTTGGAGAGAGGAAGAGGGCTGAGGTGGTGCCAGTCCCTGGTGCAGAAAGTGGCACTGACAGAGAGAGTTCTGGCAGTCCAACAGAGAGAATGAGGACCCAGACATCCCAAGGACAAGAGTGACCACCAAGTCTGTCCCAGGGCAGCCTTGAGCAAAGCTAGCACAGACTGGAGTTATTTTCAGCACATACTTTGTATTCTCCAGAGCCAAATGATACAGCTCATCTTAAAGCAAAGATGAAGAGCAGATTTCAGGTCTGTTTTGCCCAGAGTTGAGAGTCATGCTTAGGAAAAATTCATTCCTAACAAGGAAATGAAACACTGTGCCCAGGGCACGTGGTGACTGCTCCATACACAAATTCTCTCATTCTCCGAGAGGGAGGGAGCCCTAAGGATCCTCCTGGATAAGACTGGCTCCAAGGAAAAAGTTGTGGAGGAAGCCATGTTGTGGCAGTGCTATGTTCCCCTCCTCATGTCCTTTGCAGCTGCAGGGTGCCTGGAGCTCTGGGCTTTGTGGTTCTCAGAACCCTAACCCTAAAAATAAAAGCTAACCAGGACATTACAGCTACAACGAGCCTTTGGAGGATACACAAGCCTTTTGTCCAGAGCAGCTGTGGCTGCCCCCGGATCCCTGGGGGTGTCCAAGGCCAGACTGGACAGGGCTGGGAGCCCCCTTGGGTTGTGGGAGGTGCCCCTGCCCAGGGCAGGAGGGGAACTGGATGGTCTCTAAGGTCCCTTCCAAGCCAAGCCAGTTTGGAATTGTCGGATACTGAGCCTCAGCTCACTCCATCACCAGCTTCAGAGGAGTTTCTATGGTAACAGAGCCAAGCACTAAACAGACTCTTGATTTAATAAGAAACCTGTCATTTTGGTAATGAACCAGCAGATAATGTGAGCAGATATAGTGTCAGGTTTCCCTCAGTGTTACTGGCTCAGTGCAGCTGAGTGCCCAGTGCTCACCAAGCACCCTGGGCAGGCACATCTCAGGCTCACTACATGGCACTCTCCTACCAATCAACCTATCAGGCCTATTACCATTCACATTTACCCCAACCACCCAACTGCCCATAAACCCAGCCTCAGCCTTCCTCCCATGACTAGCCACACTTCTCACAGGCCTGTAAAACCAACCTTCTGTCTCCCTAAGCCAGCTCTAAGGCTGCCAGAAGGGTCCCCAGTGTGGAGACAGATAGGCATGGAGTGGTACCCCTGGAATGGGTGATCTTCTCAAACCCTCCTGGACTGAGAAATCCTCCCTGGTCATGGTGAGTCCCCAGCATCCTTTGGAACCCCATGTAGATTTGTTGGGACCGATTGCTTTTTCCCCCTTTGTACCACCCACGCTTTTCCCCATAAAACTCCCAATTTCTGCCCTGTTCAGAAGGGAGCTGCCATCACCAGTGTCCTTTGCAGGATGCTGGAATAAAGGCTAACTGTGAAATAACCACACCATGCTCCTGTCTCTCTGTCCTTGTGTTGGCCAGGGTACACCTGGCAAGGCAGAGCTGAAATCACTGAGAGCTGAAATGCTCTCAGCTGAGACCCCTAGAAAGTTGTCTCCTGCAGGATCTCTCTCTGGGAATGTTGTTTCATCCAAGTTAAGGCATCAGACCCTCAACCAGCCACCCAACACCCCAACACCACTGCTGCCAGCCCTCATCCTGACCAAAACAACAAGCCTGCTCATTGACCCTCTAGCCCTGGGTGTGAGCTTCACTGCCTCAAAGCAGGCTGTGGGAACCCAGGAAATTCCTCTGGCTGCCCTGGAGGACTCGAGACCCTGTCAGGGGGCTCAGAGACCTTGGCAGTGAGACCGACACCCCTGTGCCTTTGATTTAGCCCTTGGAAAAAAACAATTACCAGCCTTCACATGAAGGATTACAAGCCACGACAGTTTAAGTAGAATGATAGTGAATTTATCAGGGGGTGAAAATTAGATTTTGGGGTTTTAGAATGGGGGTTCAGGAGGCAAGATGGAGGAATCTGGGCATGTCCAGCCTTTCTCCTTCTTCTCCTTGGCCTCCATCTTCTGTTGTGATATTGGCACTTTTAGATTGGTTTAGAGTAGAAGCTCACTGTCTAACATATGTGATAGGTATTGGAAAGTAATTGTAAATGTTGTATATGTAGTTTTTAGTATAAAGACATAACACTGCCCCGGGGGCAGGCAGAGTGCCTGGAACTGTCCTGCTGGATGGACCTCGGCAGGGCAGGAGAAAGAATTTTATAGATAAGATACAATAAACAACCTTGAGACCAAGAACTGAAGAGCTCTGACTCCTTCTTCAAGTGCCAGGATGGGAAAAGAGACTTTCCAACTTTTCTTGGGGTCACTGACAAGTTAGAGATCCCGACAGCAGCCCACCTCCTCATCCACAGCCACAACCATCACCATCTCCAGGCTCATCCCCACAGCCACAACCACCTCCAGCACCCCTCCCTCCCAGAGAAGCACGGCGTTACCCTTTCTGCCCAGCTCGGATCACCCGGAGCGCATCCCCGTGGGTGTTTTTGATCCACTTGCTGCCCTGCAGCTGGGGGTCCACCAGGAGGGGCCAGCGCTGGCAGCTGCTGAGGATGGCGGCGTTCTGGCTGGAGGTGCGGTCGGCGGGCAGGCCCTGGTTCCGCCAGGCCGCCACTGCCACCTCGTCCGCCAGCACTGACAGTGGCTCCAGCTGCGGCGTCAATGGCACCTGCCAGGCAAACAGAAAAGCTTCCTGCAGATACCAGGGAAAGTTGGCTGATGTAAAAAACCAGGGCAGCAGGCCCTGGTTCCGCCACGCCGCCATGGCCACCAGCGGCTCCAGCCCCGGAGTCACCAGCACTGCCACCTGCCAGGCAAACAGAGAGGCTTCCTGCAGATCCCAGGGAAAGATGGATGAGGTGAAAAGCTGGGCTGAGGTAAAAAGGGTTAGGTGGTGTTTATCTGTGTCAGCAGCGGTGGGATCGGGAGGTTTGGGAGGGATTTTTCTGCTCTGCCCTGCTCAGGTGAGACCTCACCTGCAGAGCTGCCCCAGCCAGAGTTACGGGTGCCAGGTGTCTGAGCAGAATGGGCCTTTCATTTCCATTGGAATTACAGGCACTTCCTTGGCATTTCTAAGCACAGCCAGGTCATTTTTGAAACCATGTCTTAACTAAGTTTCTGGCTCAGTTAAGAAATACAGAATGAAGTTTCCCTCTCTCAGCCTAAGGTACTGTCTGCTTTGGTCAGCCCTTTGAATTGGGAATCTCTGGGACCTTATTTAAATGCTTCTTGGCACCATTTGTATGAGGAACCTGTTAAAATTAGTGAAATATTAAACAAGTTTCAAGCACAATGATCTCCATCTGGTCCTAACAGCAAGACATGGGTAAAACCAGCTGAGAGGCATGGCCAGCACGACCAGAGCTCATGTCCAGAACGAAAAAACACCTGGAGTTTTTCCAAGCCTCCTGGAGAGCTGGCAGCGAGCTCTGCCTGCTCCAATTCCTTCTCCACATTCCCCCGTCCTTCATGGCCATGGACAAAACTGCAGAGCTGGGCTCTGTGTTTGGGATTTTCCTGTGTACATGGAGGAACTTCATTGAGCAAGGACACCACCTTATCCCCAGGGAGGAGTGCATGGCCACATCCTGAGGACACAGTGATGTCCCTCACCTGAGAGATCCCCTGTGGGCACCAGGATTTGTGGCCACATTAATCCCAGAAACAATGGCTTCTCAGAGCAGTCAGGACTTACTTTTAGCTGGTGCAAATAGGGTCTCCAGATGCCATCCAGGAGCTCCTGGCGGTATTTCCTGGTGAAGTAGCCCAGGTAGGAGACAAAGGCTGTGACCAGCAGGACATCTCCACACAAGGTGCTCTGCTGCTGTTTGAAGTCCTTCACAGCCTCAGCCCACCTCACATTTTCAGAGGCGAGCCCCCCAACCTGCAAATTCCCAAGTCAAATTGATCATTTGCACAATCATGGAATGTGAACCTGACCAAGTTCTGTTTCCAGCACAATTCCAGCTGCCTCCTGAGGATCAGAGCCACCTTCACATTCCCAACACAAACTCACTGCCATTTCTATGGCATTGCTTGTCCTGCAGACACTCCAGATCAAACAGCTCTACTTCAACCATCGTGTACCTCCATTCCCCCTGATAAACAGCCATGATCTTGTGATAAACAGCCAGGATCTCCTAAGCTGAGATGTTATTGGGTTCCCCTCTGGAATCCCCACCCCAGGCCCAGCTCCAGCAGCTGACAGCAGCCCTTGTCCTGGGAATGCTGCACACACAGGTGCAGCTCTGGACACGGCTTACAGCTTCCCACAGCTGCAGACTTCAGGACCTTCTGACCCAGAGCTCAAATCCCTGTGCTTAACAGCCACTGATGGGTTTTGACTTCAAGACCGAGCTTAAACTGCTGTGGATATCAGCCCAACTTTTGGCACCTACAGCATCCTGTGGGCAGGAGTTCCACAGTTCAGCTGAGCTTTCTGCACAAAAGTACATCCTTTGATGTGCTGTCTGAACTTTTCAGTTGCTGAAACATTTGTCCAGTGCAAAACCAGGGAACAATCCTGCTGGCACCAGTTTCTCTGCACCACTCAGGATTCCAAGCCCTCAGCACCCCTGTGCTGTCTTCTTTTCATGTTGGAGAGCTTTAGCCTCTTCAATAATTCCTCAGACAGAAGCAGCCTTTTGATTTTCCTTGCAATCGTTATCTGCACCGAGTGATGCAATCTTTATTATCCGGTTCCTTTTATTGTTGCTGCCTCTGCACCATTTCCCGTTCTCCTCCAGCCTTTGAGGTGCAGCAGAGGGGCTGGCGGTGATGCTGCCCATTCAAGATTTATTTAGAAGGTATTCACAGAGAAAGATGGGGATTTTTCTGTTTTGTTCTCCCTTCTTTTCCTAATAAACCCTAATATCCGGTTTCAGAGGGGCTTTGGGTTTGGTGAGGGCTTTTTGCTTCTGGGAGCACAGAGCTCACAGCACTCTTAACTCCATCCTTTCATTGCTGAGTGATAACAATCAGCTCAGCATCACTTACAGGCCATGTGAAGTAAAACCTCATTTCTCCAAGGTACTTTACATTACATTTATCTACGTGGTGTTTCATCTCTCCATCACTTGGGATCATTTTTACAATTCTTTACAGACATTGACATCATCACTGCGGAGCAGTGCGAGCTCCCACACACCAGCTCATTTATGATTCATACAACCACAGAATCACAGACTGCTTTGGGTGGGGAGAGACCTTAAAGGTCACCCAGTGCCACCTCCTGCCATGGCAGGGACACCTTCCACTGTCCCAGGCTGCTCCAAGCCCTGTCCACCCTGGCCTTTGGATCCTATCAGGGATCCAGAGGCAGCCCCACAGTCCCTCTAAGACAAAGAAATATTTATTGGTCTGGTTTTCCTGGTCCTTGGTGCTTCCTTACTCCTAATTAATTTTTTTAGGTTACTTTTTTCCTCCTTAAGTCCTGGAAGTCTTTTCTTCTCTTTTCCTTGGATCACACACTACTGCCACTTTTAATACATTCAAGACACCTCAGGTGTCTCCCACTTCAGATCCTAGAAATCATTGGAATTCTTTTTATTTAACAAGAGGCAAATTAAAAGCTACGCCTTGGATTACCTTTGATAATGACAGAAAGTGAAAAACCATCCCTCACCCACCTTCTGCACATCAGCCATGATTTCAGAAGCTTCTACATCTTTTCCAAAATGAACACCCCTAATCCATTCCCTCTCTTCTCATGTGGAAGTGGTTTTGTACTTTGTTGTAGCTTTTCTAGGCTGCCCACAGCCTTCCTAGACAGGGTGGGCACGTGTGGGATGCAGGCACTGACAGACCCAATACAATGACGCTTAACTTCTGTTTCCTGAAGTTTTTTCCTACCAATTAGTAATATTCAATTTGTCTTTTTTCCTCCTGTCAAGTGCCACGCTGCTGTTCCTGAGAACTCTCTGCAACAACTCCAAGAGCCCTTCTGTGAGTGATAATAGTGCAATTAGGCCCTATCCATGTAACTGCATGATTACAGTTTGTTTTCCCTGCACACGTTATTTAGCATTTGTCATCACTAAATTTCCTCCTCTGCATTAGCACACACCCCCTCACAAACAGCACTCATCAGCCAGCCTCCCTTTCTGCTACACAGATCCTGTCCTTTGGATGCTGGAGCATCCTCCTGAGGCCACCTGAAGTTCATGAGATGCCAGCCTGGCACTGTGAGAACTGGGCTTGCCTCAGTTCCCCAGGTTCATTTGTCAATCCAAAGCATCACTCCCTGCATTCACTTCCATTCTTTATACAACTTCAGTGTTTGTTTCAAAGTCGGGGAACTCATTTCTACCCAGAGCCACACCAGTGACACCTCCTGAATGTCAAATGAGCTGCACACCAGTGAGGGCTGTCAGGCCCTGCTCCCAGATCAAAGCCAGGGTGGCACAGGAGATGGTGTGCAGTGCACAGCAGGGAGTTGGGATGCAAGCAGCTCCTTGCCTGCACTGCAGAAATGATGAATTGTTGACAGTAAAAAATCACAGAATTGTTGAGACTGGGAGCTGTTCCCACGTCATGGGGTGGGGAAGAGATGTAACAAGCATGGCCTAGGATGTGGTGTCCCAGAGTCACAGAACCATGGGATGGATGGGGTTGCAAGGGACGTAAAATCCATCCAGTGCCACCCCTGCCATGGCAGGGACACCTCCCACTGTCCCAAGGACACCTCCCACTGTTCCAGGTGCTCCCAGCCCCAGTGTCCAGCCTGGCCTTGGGCACTGCCAGGGATCCAGGGACAGCCACAGCTGCTCTGGGCACCCTGTGCCAGGGCCTGCCCACCCTCACAGGGAAGGATTTCTTCTGTATATCTAAACTAAATTTCCTCATTCTCCCTTGTCCTGTCACTACACTTCCTGATGCAAAACCCATCTCCAGTTCCTCATAGGCCCCTCTCTAAAACCTTTGTACTCTGGCTCAGAGGAGGCTGAGGCTTTTAGAGATATTCTCTCTCTAATTCTTGTCATTTCAGACCCTGCAAAGCTACGGGCACATTCACACCTTTGTTTTATGATGCCATTTTTGACTCCCACTGTTCTGGTCCATCAGCACCTGCTCACACATTTAAGCCCCAAGAAGCAGCTGAGATGGCAGCAGAGCCAGGCACTGTAATGAGCAGAGCTGCCCCAAACCATCTGGAATACAACAACACTTTCTGCAGCTGCCTCTCCTGGTTTCTTTGAGAAAGAGAAGACATTCTGCCACAACCTCATGGAAACAACCTCTGTAAAAGTATTTTCACTGCTGAAACTTGCTGCAGTGTGGGATATTTTTAGGGTCCCCAGGACAAAGGAGGAATTGAGAATCTGACTGCATGTGCTTAGAAGGCTAATTAATTATTTTATGCACTTATATTATAATAAAGAATGCTATACTAAAACTATACTAAAGAATAGAGAAAGGATCTTATAGAAGGCATAACAATACATTACTGAAAAAATTGTGACTGCTTTCAGAGTCCTGACACAGCTGGGCCATGATTGGTCATTAAGTAAAAACAATTCAGATGTTGGATAGACAATCTCCAACCACATCCAAAGCAGCAAAACACAGGAGAAGCAATCAGATAATTCTCTGAAGTTTCTCACCTTCCCAGAAGAAAAAATCCTGGTGAAGGGATTTTTCAGAAAAAATGACAGTGACAGCAGAGCAGGAAACATTCCCAAAACCATGAGAGGATGGAAGGCACTAAGCCCAGCCCTGTCCCTCCCCCTGGGGCCACCAGAGCTGCCCTTGCTGCACTCACCAGGCGGTTGGCGAGGGTGATGGTGCAGGCTGTGGCTTCAGCTTCCTGCTGGCACCTGAGTTTGTCTGATGTGGCCTTCTCAAACCGGGCTGTGAGCTTGGCCAGGTTCTCGTTGAGGCGCTGTGGGTTAAAAACAGGAGAAATCAGGAACAGCACAACTCAGGGGAGACCTGGAGCTGCTGGAGGAGTCCAGAAGGCCATGAAGACACTCCAAGAGCTGGACTTCTCTGCTCTGGAGACTGAGAGAGCTGGGGATGTCCAGCCTGGAGAAGAGAAGGCTCTAGGGAGAGCTCAGAGCTCCTTGCAGGGCCTAAAAGGGTTCCAGGACAGCAGGAGAGGGACTGGGGACAAGGGATGGGGGGACAGGATATAGGGAATGGCTCCCATTGCCAGAGGGCAGGGATGGATGGGATATTGGGAAGGAATTGTTCCCTGGGAGGGTGGACAGGCTCTGGCTGCCCCTGGATCCCTGGAATTGCCCAAGGTCAGGCTGGACATTGGGGCTGGAGCAGCCTGTGACAGTGGGAGGTGTACTTGGGACAGTGGGAGGTGTCCCTGCCATGGCAGGAGTGGCACTGGGATGGGCTTTGAGATCCCTTCAAGCCCAAGCCAGTCAGGGATCCTGTGATCCCGAGGCAAACCCTTGTGCACAGCTGGCCAAGCTCCAGCCCAGCTCATCCACCCAGGGCTGGCACCAGGAACCAGCACAGAGCAGGACTGGGCTGTGCTACAGCTTGGAACTCACCCTCGGCACAGGCAGAGGCAAAGGACACTCAAAATGAATTTATTGGGGCTTCTGGCTGAGCCCTGATGAGGAATGCTATGGCTGAGCAATGAGCAGGCAGCTGAGGAACCCAAATTTGATATATCAGCCCCTTGTCTCTGAGCAGTCCTTGAGGCTCTGCTGATTCCCCAGGTCCTGTTCAAATCCCCAAGGGGCTCCTGGAGCTCTGAACCCTCTCCAAACCATGTCCTCACACTGTTTCCAGCAAGGAATATAGTAAGTGAGCTAAATGGCTCTGCTCTGAGAGCTGCCCCAGCAAGGTGGGACCATGTCCTGTGCAGGTCAGGGCTGGGAAGGCAGCAGGAGCCAAAGCACCTGCAGAGAAAACTGGAGAGCCCTGTTCTTGTTCACACTCGGATCTAAACCAAACCAACAGCTCCCACAAGCACTTGGAGCATTTCACTTCTGATAAGAAAAGTAATAATTGATTTTATCTGCACCCAATGCAGACTGCTTAAGGCTAAACTGCTTGTAAATCACTTTAACATTGAGCTACACACTAGAAACAAGCCCAAAAATGAAAAAGGATTATATTAGAGATCTCTGCAGCTCTCCTGGATACTGGCAAACACAAAGCAGCCTCTCCTTGACCTTCCTTGGAACAATAACACCAAAAGTTTCTGTCCCTGTGTGTATGTGGATCTATCAGCATACAAAGGCTCAGGTATATCACATTCCACTATAAAAGCACGAGCTGATAATTGATTTTCTCTAGAATATATGCATATACCTGGTCTGCAGGGCCCCACCAGGGGCACACAAATACAGCTGTGTGCAGATGTGGACACACCTTTCATTCCTACCTCCAGCAGCTCCAGGTGCAGAGCACTCAATTCCCAGGTAAGGAAAAAACAACAGAAAGTTCTTAATGTTTTGGACAATCAGAAATTCCTCATTTATTAATAAAAATGAGCATGAGACAGCTTGGGCCCAGCTGTGAGCAGGTATGAATCAGCAGCCAGCAGTGAAGCTATCCAAGAGATCCCAGATAAGCAAGGATGTACCTCCACATCCATCCCACACCACCCTGCATCACTCCCCATCTGCAGAGAGGAGAGAGCCCCTAAAGCAGACAGTTTTGTAAGAGCCTGCCAGAGGAGCAGCAGTAATCTCCCCAAAGATTGCAATTTTCTTTAACAAAATCCCACTCCTTTGAGGGAAAAAAAATAAAAAGCCCAGGCATAAAAAAAGCTTTGGAGAAGAGCAACATAAAGGGATGAAAAAAGTTCCCCAGCACTGTATGGCACATCTGAGGTGGGAGAATTAGACACCAAAGCCCTCTAAATCCATCCCTGCTTCAGGTGCCTCCTTTCATCTGCAGCAGGAAGGGGAGGCCAGAGAGTTCTGCACCATTTTCTTGTATTTTTAGTTTAAAAGTGTAGTAAGCATTTTAAGAATGATAAGCCCTTGAAAGCATCAAGGGAATGATGTGTTTTTTAACAGGATGAGGTGTGGTGGAGGGGGTGAGGGCAGCAGAGGGACCTCACTCACTGGGACCCTGATCCTGCTGTGGATCCAGCCCAACAGCCCAGCCCTGGAGGGGATCCCACTCCCAAAGAGAGACCCCAAAACCAGAGCTGCTGCTTCCCACAGCCTGTTCTTAGCAGGTATCATGCTGGGAGGGAGCAGGGGGGAAAGCAGGATAAAGCAGGATGTGTTTTTACATAGAGATAATTTTCTGAAGGAAAGCGATAAAGGTCTCACTCTGCACTCTGTGGAAATGCACTTTTAATCATGCTGTAATTTCTTCTATTCAGGGATTTTTTTTAATTTTTTTTTTTTAAGTAGCAAAAATCCAAATAACATCCAAGATGTGCTGCCAGGGAGCTGTGCCGTGACAAATGAGGCTCCTGCAAGAGCACTTGTCATCCTGCAAAAGCAGGCACTGAGTGTGCAGCCAGACCAGCTCTGTGCTCCCAGCACTGAATCAGCCTCCAGGTCCCATCCCCTGCCCTCTGCAGCACACTGGGAACACCCTGGTTTGAGATAATGACTTTTCTGAGGGCCCAGGAGAAGAGGTAAATTACATTAAAAAATTAGTGGGAGTAACAAGGATTCTTATTTAGCCTTATTTAGCTTATTTTCCTCTTTGGGTGCAAGCAAGGCTGGAGAAGAACAGAGGAAATTCAGACAGCAGCAATATTCAGCCAAAGGAATCACAGAATTCCTTTGGCTGGAGGGGATCTTAAAAGCCTTTCCACCCCTGCCATGGCATGAACACCTCCCACTGTTCCCGGCTGCTCCCAGCCCCAGTGTCCAACTTGGCCTTGGGCATTGCCATGAATCCAGGGGCAGCCACAGCTGCTCTGGGCACCTGTGCCAGGGCCTGTCCAGCCTCCCAAGGAACAATTTCTTCCCTTTAACTAACCTAAATTTCATCTCTTTCAGTTTGAAGCCATTCCCTCTGTCCTGTCCCTCCATCCCTTGTCCTCTCCTGGAGCCCATTTAGGCCCTGGCACGGGGTCTGAGCAGTCCCTGGAGCCTTCTCCTCTCCAGGTGAGCACCCCCAGCTCTCCCAGCCTGGCTCCAGCCCTTGGAGCATCTCCATGGCCTCCTCTGGGCTCTCTCCAGCAGCTCCAGCTCCTCCCTGTGCTGGGGCCAGAGCTGGGGCAGCTCTGCAGGTGGGGTCTGACCTGAGCACAGGGGCAGAATCCCCCTCCCCTCCCTGCTGCCCATGCTGGGGGCTCAGCCCAGCACAGAGCTGGATTTTGGGGCTGCCAGTGCAACAGGAGGGACAGAAAACCCTACAACCTCCAACCCCTTGGATTCCCACCCTGCTTTAGAACACAAGCACCGAGCAGCACCTTAGCCCAAGCTGAGGATTCCCCCAGGCAGGGACAAGCAGGACGGGTCCCCCCAAGGTCACTCACAGCAATTTTGGCCTTGACAGTGGCCAGTTTGTCCTGGGCTGCTGCCAGTTCAGCATTGGCCCTGTCCAGGGCCTGTCTCTTGGGCTGCACCTCACAGAAGACGCGGTGGAAGCGCTCGATGTTCAGCACCCACGAGCACAGCCCAGCCGCCGCTGCCGACTTGGTGGCCACGAAGTCGGGGTTGAAGCTGGGGTCCTGCAGATAGGGCTGCAGGGCTTTCAAGCAGTTCTCATGGATGTTCTCCTTGTTGAACTTGATCAAGGAGTCCAGGAAGCTGTCTACCCTTGCCATGGCCACTCTGGCTGCTTTCCAGCTCCTGTCCTTGGGGATCTTCCCTCCCGGGGCTGTCAGCACCATTACGGCTGCTGTGACGTTGCTGACAGCAGAAGGAGGTGACCCAAAGGACCTCAGCTCCGTCAGATTGGTCTGAAAAGGGGAAAACAAGGTTGTTAGGTAAAAATGAATTTGCTTTCTTTTCACTCTGCCACTAATAGAGTCAGGCTCCCAGGCTATCAATCTGATAAATTGGGCTCCTCTGGGCCCCAGCAGTGCTGCCTTTAGATCACTGCTCTGAATGTTTGCAGCACACCTGCTCCATTCCCTGCTCCTGACATCCCACCTGGGACCAGCACGGCACACTGCTCCTCCCCAGGCTCCTGGGGGAGCAGGAGGTTTTATGCCTTCTCAGAAGATTGGGATAAATAAAAATGAAACTAATAGAAATAATGCTCAGGCCCTTCATGCTCCCTCCTACCCAGGCTGAGATGCCAGGGCCAAATCCATCCTCTGATTCCCACATCCTGCAGCCCTCAGGGTTCAGAGAATGCATCTGCTGAAACAGCCCATGTATCCTCACAGAGCAAGCAGCCAAACTGGACTGGAGAAACCAAAAGGGCATTTTTGTCTCTAACTCCTGATTTCCCAAGTTTTCAAGCTCACTATCACACTATGCATGAACTGTAGACCAAAACAAACTGCAGGTCCATCTCTCAGGCACATCACTGAACCACAAAATGAACAAGGAAAAGGCCTTTGAGATCATCAAGTCCAACATATGACCCAACACCACCTTGTCAACTAAACTATGGCACTGAGTGCCACATCAAAAGGGAACCCTTGGAGCACCCTTGAAGGACAAACCTTCCAAGGCACAAGAACTCCTCCCAAAACCAATCTCCTGCAATCAGAGCAATGCTAATCTCCTGATCACACCTTTTCCCAGTGACATCTTCCTTTGCACCAGCTTTGTCTGCTCCTCTCCATGGCAATGAGTGAATGGGAACATGGTGCAGCCTCGTGGGTTCTCCGAGTTCCACCAGGAACCCCAGAAGCACAGAATTAACCAGGCTGGAAAAGACCTTTGACATCAGCAAGTCCAACCTGTGACCAAACACCATCTTGTCAACTAAATCATGGCACTGAGAGCCACATCCAATCCTTTTTTACACACTTTAGCACCAGCAGGGAGGAAGCTGGAGAAAGGACAATAAAATGCACAGAACTTGGGACATCAGAGGACACAGCCCCTCTCCCCCAGTGAGGAGGAAAACCACTGAGGGAGCCCTAACCCTACCTTGTTGAGGGTGTTGAGAGCAGCCTGGGCAGCTGCCAGGGCAGGCTCAGCCTTGGCCAGGTCCTCCTCACAGTCCTTCTGCTTCTGCTCCACCTCCTGGGCAATGAGGGCCACTTTCCGCTCCTCCTCATCAGCCACTGCTTTCTTTCTGCTCACCTTCTCCGTCTCCACCCCCACCACCTGGATCAGCTTGTCAGCATCCTCGTTCTTCTGCTTCAGCTCCACCTCCTGGGCTGCCAGCTTGGCCTTCAGCTCATCCACCTGCAGGGCAGAGATTTGTGTGAGCTGGGCTGCCCTGCCTGCCTCACCAGTGCCCAGCACAGCCTCACACCCAGTGAGGGACCCCAGGGCAGGGACCCCTGGCTGTCAGCAGAGTCCTGCTGATGCCTTCACTCTGCTGACTCCTTGTGTTTTACTCCACCAGCATGGCCGTGGTGGCAGCTCCTCACCCCTGCTCACACACAGGAGCCCTCAGCAGCATTTGCCCAGGAGGAAGCTCACACAGGCTCTCACCTACAGACAGAAAACCTACTGCTAAAATCCGCATTTTTTGCATGAGGGGAAGCTTACACAGACTCTCACCTACAGACAGAAAACCTCCTGTAAAATCCCCATTTCAGTGAACTCACCCAGACTCTGGGCAGAGCACAGAGGCTTTCACTGCCTGATCTCAGGCTTGCAAATGTTCCCTTAGAGCTCCTGGGGTACATCTTTACCCACATACAAATACTCACAGGAAGGAAAGCAGCCACTGCTTTTGGTGATACCATTGTGATACCAAAAGGGAGAGCACAGCCTGCAGTCCATCAACTGAAGCTGCTGACATTTAGCATTGGCTTCATGTGGAGAGCAGTTTTTCAGGGCTCTCCACACGCCCTCCATCCATCACCATGCCCTGCTCCTGGCTCTGTGGGACTGCTCTCAGCAGGACAAAGGCACAGCTGTAAATCCAGGCTCACAGAATCCCCCCGTGGTGTGACAAACCCAGCAGCAGCTCCTTGTGCAGCTCCAGCTCTCTGGGGGCTGCTGGAAATTGAAGTGGGCTCTGCTGATGGCTGATATGGCTGTGACCTTCTGCCCAGAAATCAGCCTTTGTGTGCTGGATACACACACAAACAGCAGCTCCAGGGGTTTACAGGGCCAGGACAAAACAAGCAGGGGATTAAAATCCACAGGCACTCAACAGCAGCACAAAGAGAAGGTGTAAGCTCAGCCCCGGGCAACACACAATGCCCTGCCAAGCACAATGGAAGGGGAAATGACTTTGTCAGGATTTTAGAAAAGCAAGAATGCTGGAGAAGGAGTGTTTGCAAGGGCCTGAAGAGACAGGACAATTGGGAATTACTTCAGATTGAAAAATGGCAGGGTTAGGTTGGCTATCAGGAAGAAATCCTTCCCTGGGAGGGTGGGAGGCCATGGATCCCTGGCAGTGCCCAAGGCCAGGCTGGATGGGGCTTGGAACAACCAGTGGGCAGTGCAAGGTGTCCCTGTGACAGTGCACTGCACAGGGGCAGTGCAAGGTGTCCCTGTGACAGTGGAAGGTTTCCCTGCCATGGCAAGGGGTGGAAAAGGATGATCTTTAAGATCTCTTGCAACCCAAAGAATTCTGTGATTCTGTGATTCCATGAGAAACCTGTGAGCAGCTTCCTGAGTGCAGAACAATCTGATAAGCAATTAGTAATGTGAGGTGGAAAGGCAAAGAGCAAAGCAAATGAGAAATTCAAGGGTAATGTGCTGTGACTTCATCAGAAAAAGGAAGGGAGAAGCCCTTGCCTACCACCAGAACAGCATGAGAAAAATTATTGAAGAGAAGAAAACCTGGAGGGCAGGCTCCCAGAAGACTCATTTTATCTGATTGTCCCTGCCTTGTTTCAAGAACACAAAATACATCAAAAGGTCAGCGATTAATTGATAGCGGCAGGCAGGCTGGAATGTGGAATGCAATGATGCAATATTAACCACAGCCATCCTCAGAATTACTCAGCAATGGGTGCTGACCTCTTGGTGGCACACAGCACTCTGAAAAACAAATGACTCATCCCACACATCTTCCCAATCCATTATCTCCTAACGGGAAGGAGGCTTTGGGACGGAGGCTTCAGCTTCCTGAGTGCTGAGGATGCACTGGCCAGGAGGCTTTGGGAAGGAGGCTTCAGCTTCCTGAGTGCTGAGGATGCACTGGCCGCAGGGAGAGGTGCTTGTAAAACATTCCTAGAGCAGCAAAGTTTGTCAGCAGCATCCAGGTGGCCAAATCTCCACAGGAAGGAAAAATAAAAGGGGGTAGAGGAAGAGGGGACCACGGTGAAAAGAGGTAGAGAGGTTATTTTGAAATGGGAACAGCAAAGTAAAAAATACCTGCAGCTTCTGATACAACAGCCCCTAGTGCTGAGGCCACTCTGAGCCTACGGAATTACACAAACCTCATCCTTAACTGAGCCCTGGAGGATGCCAGGGATGAGCACCAGGCCCCAGAGCTACAGCACAGCCAGGTGATATCCAGGGATCAAATTCCTCCATCTTTACTTTGAAAATTCCCTCAGCACATCACTCCCAACACAACCTGCATGTGACACACCTGAGTGAGAGAGGACTCTCCACTTCCTCAGCCCCAAGTATTTCCATGGGTGAATGTAAAGTTCAGCCATTTAAACCCATGTTCAAGATTGAACATGCTGGTATGATTTCCAATACTGATAAATATCCACACTCTGCTTTCAAATCAACAGCAGTTTTGACTATTGCGCACATCTGGTAATTTAGGTGTTTAATTTTAGGCCCCCAGTGCTAATTTTAGACTTGAATTTGTCATGTTTGTCCTCACTGCTTTGCATCTTAATTACCTGCTCAAGGAGGCACCTCTCAACCCAGCCTCACTGCAACCAGACACCAACACTGTGCTCTTTCATCCTCCTTGGGATTTGATTTTCCCATTTTAACCATTGCCTCCAAGTCCCCCACCCCTGCTTTGTGGCTCAGCAGAGAACCCTGCCCACACAGCACCCACTGAAGAGAAGCCTGAAAGATTCGCATGTGTCACAACAGACCCAGGGACTTGTTCTCAAAAATTCATTTCATATTAGCTGCTCTCCCCAAAAAAATAAACCTAATCCACCTTACCCACCACTGGGGAGTCCTGAAAAAACAGCAGCACCCCACAGGTCCATCAAAGCTATTGCCTGCATGGGTGAGGTGAGGTTGTTGGAAAATATAGCAAGTTCAAAATTTAAAATTTATAATTTCAGCAGGTTTGTTTGCCTTTGTTCTCGGGGAAGGGAATTTCTGTTTCTTTCCAGAGCATTATTCCACCAGGTAAGGCCTGATGAATTTAACATCTTAACAGATTGGGAATAGGAGAGAAGGTACAGAAAAACTAACAACAGCTCCAAACATCAGCCCTGTCGTGGTCTGAGACACCTGGTCTGAGAAAAGAGAAATAAGAATAAGAACCCAATTAGCATCAGAGGTAATGAGAACATAATTAGCATCAGAGGGGAAGAGATCTGGAACCAACAGGAAACCAAAGACTAAGAACTCCATGATATCAATGAACACTGAACCAGTGAATCTCTATGTGTTTTGACTGCATAAGATTTGTGAAAAAACTGGCAAAATTCATGTGCCATGGAATGATTTTCTCTGCAAACCCAGGTTATGTGTGGATGAAATGATTTCTGTTGCACATTCTGGCCAGAACATAATAATGCCTCAATTCTCTAACACTAAAAGCGTTGTTGGAGGGGTTTTGTTTTCCCTGTAGTTTTGGTGACAGGGTGAGGTGTGTGCTGGACAGTGAGGACACGGCCCCATGGCTCTGGTGGGTGCCACCATTGCTCTCTGCTACCCCTTCCCTCCAAAGGAGATGCTAAAACCTGCACAGGGTACGTGGCAGTGCCCACCCTTGCCATGCCCTGCTCTGTGAGTAGAGCCTGTTTGAAGGCAGATGGAGATATCAGTGCTGAGAGCACCAGCCCAGCCCATCCATCACCTTCAGGCACGCTGTGTCCCCCAAGTGTGACAGATGAGATTGATGCCCCCAGCACGCCCCAGAGCAGATGTGTGGAAGGGGATGGACCTGCCAGTCCTTCCTTCTCATCAGCCCCTCTGCATTCCTCCAGAGCAGCTCCAGGAGAGCCTCATTTGACACTGGAGAAGCTTTGTGAGCAAACATTTGTGAGAGTTAATAGAATACGAAATGGAGAGCAAAATGGGAGTGTAGCAACAGAGGTAGGTGTCACTGCAGAGAAGGTTGGGATACACCCAGAACAACTTCTAGGCACTACCAGAGGAGAGTGACAGAGGGAGTCTTCAGCTGGGGGATTTTGGGATGACTGATGTACATTTCAGACATGTGTTAGCTCTCTTTAAAGATGGATTGCATAATAAAAGGAAAAATGAACATCAGCCTCATTTTAACATCATGCACTGCTTAGTTTGAAAGAGTCTTGCTGGGGTTATTGTAGATTTCCTGGATGCAACTCCAAAAATCACTGACTGTCCTGTATTTTCTAAGCTGTTTTGTCACCACAGCTGAAATTTAACCATTAAAAGAGGATGGCAGAGTCAGCTGGATCCCAATCTCATTTTACTTACCGAAATCTTGCAGTTACCTCCCAAACAGCAGAGTCTGGGCACACACCTCTCCATTCTCCTTTCTAGTGCAGAGCATCACTTCTGTTCCTCCAGAAACCCAGCTCAAGCCAGACTAGAGCCAGGATCCAGCCCAGATTTCTTCCCTCTAAAGCTGCCCCTCGAACCAGACAAGAAAAACAAGGAAAATCAACCCCAAGGAGTCCTTACCTGTGCAGAGGTGCTCTTGAGCTTCTCCAGGCCGTTCTCCAGGCGCTCCATTTTTGCCTTTAACTCCCTGTCCTTGCTCAGCAGCAGGCTCTGGTAGAGTTTGATTTGCTCCAGGAAGGACTTGGGGGTGGTGTAGTTGTAGCGGCGCTCATTGCTCAGGTACAGCTGGGACACCTCATTGACACTGATGTGGACGTGGGCCATGAATTTGCTTATTGAATCCTTGACTGAATCCTAAAGGGAAGATGGGAAGATGAGGAGAAACTGTTTTAAATAGAAAACTATATATAAACACAGGTCTGTGCTGAATAGAAAGGAATTTGGTAACTTTTGATTCTGCTGCAGCACAATCCAGGGTGTAACACCTCAGCTGATCCCTTTTCACTCTTATCTCTAAAATAACTTTGTTGCTCATCTACTTTATACCCCTTTTTCATATCTTTTTATCTCACATTATCTTATTCCAAGCAATTTCTCTACAAAATAACAGCAAGTATAATTTTGGGCTTTTCTCCTGTTCAAATGGGAAAAGTGCACACTCCTAAAAAGAAACATTGTAGGCTTTATTCTTCCTAAACCTCGCCTGGAAAAGCTAAATAAACAGAAAAACAGAAATGAATCTCTATTCTAGTAGCAGATTGTCATTGCTGAGAACTTGACCTATTTTTGCCCTTGAGATTTCCAGAGGCTCAGACACAAGTGGGAAGAGCAGCAGGTTATTTTCTGTGCAGGTTTGGGGCTGCCCTTGTGCTGGCAGAGCTGTCCTTTCCCTGGCAGTGCCATCAGCTCCCACTGACACCTCAGCAGCTCCCAGTAAGATATCCTCATCAGCTCCAAGAGACACAGGAGCATGGTGCCCGTGGCTCTACCCATGGTCGTCTCCAAAAAAATGTGGAATGTGCCTCAGTGTTGGTTTGGTTGAGTTTAAAGCACTTCAGTGCCACCAGTGATGCCCCTCTGGACAGCCACCTGGATGTGTTGAAGCCAACCCAACCCTCCCTGAAATGGAAGGAGTGACATGGGGCCTCCTCTGGTGTCATTGTCATATTTTCTGAAAAATCCCTTTGCCAGGATTTCTTCTCCTGGAAAGCTGAGAAGCCTCAGAGAAAAATGAAAGCAATAATTATCTGATTTGCTTCTCCTGTGTTTTGCTGCTTTGGAATGTGGTTTGGAGATTGGTCATTAACTAAAAACAATTCACATGTTGGATAAGCAATCACGGTCAGGCTGTGTCGGGTCTCTGGAGAGAGTCACAGGTTTTTCATTAGTATCTTATTAAGCCTTCTGTTAAATATCCTTTCTCTATTCTTTAGTATAGCTTTAGTATAATATAGTATAATGTAGTACAATGTAGTATAATGTAGTATAATGCAGTATAATGTAGTATAATGTAGCATAATATAGTATAATATAATATAACATAACATAGTGTAGTATAACATAATATAGTGTAGTATAACATAACATATTATAACACAACATAGTATAATATACTATAACATAACATAGCATAATATCATATCATATCATAATAAATTAGTCATCTAAGAACATGGAGTCAGATTCACGTTTCCTTCCTGCCACAGCAGACCCTGAAAATGCCCCACCCTTGCTGTGCCCAGCACTGTTCCTGGTGTCCCCCAGTGTCCCAGCACAGGATCTGTGTGGTGCTCACCTGCAGGGTGTCCATGTCCCGCAGGAAGCGGAGGCTGACGGACTCCAGGGCCTGGCGGGGCCATGGTTGGAAGCAGTCCATGGTGGTGCAGCTGGCCAGCGCCGGGAAGCGGCGGCTGTGGAGGCGCAGCTTGGGGCCCACAGGGGACAGGCACAGAGCCACCTGAGGAGCAGGACAGGGCACTGAGGGGCAGGGCAGGGAGAGCAGCACCTGCCCTGCCGCTGAAACGGAGGGAAAGTTTAATAGATTTCCATCTATTTCAGATTTAGGTAAAATGCACCGTTTAAATTATTAAGTCTGTAGCTTGCTTACATACATGAGATGTGTTGTTTAGTCTGGGCTCAAAACTACCTGTTCTCACAAAAAACTTATACTCACAAAAGAATGTAAAAAGAGATAAGAGAGACTTCTTAAACTTTGAAACATAAACTACAAGAAACAAACAAAACGACTTCAGAGTTCTTTCTGTACTTTCTAATAAAAAAAATAGCCACAAGTGTAACACAAAACGAGTAAAAACTAGTATATTAGTTTTAAAAATATATTTAAAAACTACTAAGTTTGTAGAATCCATAAATATATGTGTAATGTAAACAATAAACAGCCTCTGCTTGATGATATTGGTCAGTTGCTCAGGAGTCCTGGATTTCCAAAATAGGAGGCAAAGCAATTCCTTCTCTAGCTGGGAATCGAGGACAAATGATCCAAATCTCAGGCCCAAGAGCAAAAACAACCTGGACTGAAGAAAGAAAACAAGAAGGATGGGACTTCATAACCTAAAGTTGTAATTGGACAATTAAATCCAATATGCAAATGGACCACACATGGAAACTAAACTTTGTTTACAAATCTATGTCCTGAAGAGCTGGTTTTTGGCCTTGCTACACAATAAAACCACAATAGGATGAAGGCCTTGTACCTCCTGGGGCTTGGAACTCTGGAATTTTGTCTTTCTGGCTAGGGAAAAGTACTGGAACTAGCTACTAATCCAATAACAGGCTACAAATATGTGTGTGAAGAACACAGAGAATCTATAAAAGGAAAAAGGCAAAAAATCATTCAGCACTAACCCTTCGTGCTCCATCTCACCTTCAGCTGCCGTCGGACGCGCTCGATGAAAAACCTCCAGCAATTCTCCCTGGAATCCACCAGCCCCCGGCCCCTGACTTCACTCCTCACACTGCTGATGATGTTTTCCACTTCATCATCAGGGAAGAGATCTGGGATTTCCCCTAGGAGAGGAGGGCATGTTTGGGTTTGCACATGTGGACGTTGTTGTAGTCTCAGAGCAAAGGGAAACTGCTGTTCCCTCTTCAGGGGCTCAGGGACATCCTATTTTCAGGTAAAACCCCTGCACCAGATCCCCCTGAGCCCCAGAAGCAGCAAAGTGGCACACAAGGTCATTCTGCTGAAAAATAAACATCTGTTAGAGCAAACTTCCTTATAAAACACAAGGGAAAGGATGATAGACTAGAGTCAAGGTACAGAAAATCAATTTATTTTTTTTTTAGCTCTGTAGTCTAATTAGATTTAAAAAGAAATATTCAAATCCCTAATATGCCATACGTATTATAAAATCATTGTAGCTTTGCAAGTGCATTAATTGCACGTAAAATTTTTGCAGCTGTTCAGGGCCTTTTCCAGCAGTGACCAAATAACTCCCAGACGATCCAAACATTTTATGAGTTACAAATCTTGTAAAAAACTTTTATAAGTTAATAGTTAAGCAGCTGTTTGCCAATAATGCTACCAACCATATTTTTTTTCTTAGTGTTTCCTTAATATATCACATATTCACTTCATTTCTGGCTTTTGATTTGATTAAAATCATCATTATTGAGCCAGATACTTCCAATATGTGCACTGATCACTTAGGGAAATACACTAATCAGAAATCTGCTCATTCATCAAGAAGATTAAAAGGTATATTTTGTTCCAGATAATGACAACAAGTGAAACAAGTAATAAAGACATTTCTCACTATCTCAGGTTGCTCCAAGCCCCATCCAACCTGGCTCTGAACATTTCCAGGGATCCAGGGGCAGCCACAGCTGCTCTGGGCACCATGTGCCAGGGCCTTCACCTCAAATTTAAGGATAACTAATTGGACAGAAGCCAAAAAGTCCCACCTGGGCAATTTACTAGAAGAGAACAAAAAACCTAATTGCTTTTGTGAGGTGTTTTACCAGGAGCACCTGGCCTGGTTTTTCTAGGTTTGTTATTTTGCCTTTTATTAAACCTTTTTATTTCCAACATTGCAACAGAAGCCATCCTGCTGATTTTTACACCTCCAAGGGTAGCTGAGCCATCTTGGGTGTGTTATAGACATCTGAGAGCTCATTAGACCTGGCTGGAGGAGGCTCCTGTAACACGAGGGCTGTACCTGATGCCAGGAAGTCGTTGACCAGCACCAGGAACTGCTCGTCTGCGACCTGTGCATCGCTCAGAAGGAACACAGAGCCCATGTTCTTCAGCCCCGCCTTCAGGTACAGGTTTGCCAGGTCTGCCTGCAGGGGGGACACCAGGAGGGCTTGCATGCTGCAAAGCATGGGCCAGGCACAGAAATGGGATCATTCAGAACCAGCTCAGTGGCTGAGAACATCAACACAGTGGAGGGCTGAGGCTCAGGGCTGGTCTGGAATGTTCTCAGGGCACTGCCAGGGGAGCCCAGGTGTGGCTGCAGCCCTGGGCACACACACAGCAGCAATGCATGTGCTCCTCTCCACAGGAGCATGTTGTCTCTGGGTGTTTCAATATCTCATTTACATTAAAAGAGCCCTCTAAGGACATCATATCCAACTGTTCCCCAGAGTAGCTAAGGCCATCACTAACCCACGTCCCTAAGAGCCACATCCATATGGCTTTTAAATCCCTCCAGGGGTGTGCATTTCACCACCTCCCTGGGCAGCTGTGCCAGGGCTGGACAGCACGTTCAGTGAAAAAATATTCCCTAATATCCACCCTAAGCCTGCCCTGGCCCAGCCTGAAGGCCATTCCCGCTCCTCCTGTCCCTGTTCCCTGGGAGCAGAGCCCAACCCTCCTGGCTGTCCCCTCCTGGCAGGAGCTGTGCAGAGCCACAGGGTCCCCCCGAGCCTCCTTTTCTCCAGGCTGAGCCCCTTTCCCAGCTCCCTCAGCCCCTCCTGGAGCTCTATTCCTTCCCTGGACACACTCTAGCTCCTCAATGTCCTTCCTGTCCTGAGTGTCCCAGAGCTGTCCCCATAGCTGGAGGTGTCCCAGCAGTGCCAGCACAGGGGATGAGCGCTGCCCTGACCCTGCTGCCACCCCAGAACTGGGTCATCCCAGGTGGCCTTGACCTCTTGCCCACCTGGGCTCACAATCATCCTCCCCCATTCTCTCTCCCATCACACACCACCCCCTTCGGGGAAAGCTCTGCTCTTTTTTTCCTTCCCCTCCAATTCAAGTCCCCCACCTTGAGGTCAGGGACGCTGTAGCCTTTCCTCAGGGTGATCTGGAAGACCTCCATGGAGCAGAGGAAGGCAGCCAGGCGGGTCAGGCTCTGCTTGCCCGTGCCTCCCACGCCGACCAGGAGCGCGTTCCCCCGCGGCGCCTCCAGGACGCGGCTGATGCGGCAGCTGCACCGAGCCATGCAAAACTTCTCATTAATAACACTGCTCTCCCATTTCTCTGCCCACTGCTCCTCAATACATATTTTATTCACTAGGAAATTGCCATTCTTCACCCCGCTCAGAACACAGTCTCGGAGATGTGGCAGCAATCAATGCTCATCTCTGATGAGACCTGTCCAAAAACACCCCCAAAGTTTGGTGGAAATTTAAAATGTGCCTATTTTTTTCCCACCTGCCAAGTCCTGCTGGACAGAACAATGTTTAAGTGAAGGTCTTTGCAGGGAGTGCAAGGGGAAAAGGATGTTACATTGACATGCAAAAACAGAGCAAAATTCAAGGCTCTGACCCCCCTCCCCAGAAAAGCCCCTCTCTTTTCTCAGGGCTTTGGGATTTGTGCACAGGTGAGCCCTACTGAGCATTAGAGAACATCCACACCTGGCTGGAATAGCACAAACCTGCCTGGAAAACAATCTCTGTTCCTTTTATCCACACCATCACTACATAAGAGTGAGATTTTCTCACTCTTGCAATGAATTTGCTGTTATTTCCCAAGTCTGCTCACCTGAGAGTCCTGTGGTGAACTCTGCCTCCCTTTTGTTGTCCTTAAGCAAACGCTGACACCCCCACATGTTCCCTGCTAGGTGAAGGGGGTCCAGAGGATCCCAGCTGTGGAACCCTCCCTGTCCAGGGTCTAAAACACAAGCCCCATTCCTTTACTCATCTCCCTTCACTATTTTTCTGGATTCATCTAATTATTTTTCATTTAAGACTGTGAGAAACACTACCCTGTTTTATTACAACTCCAGTGTTCCATAATCTATGCACTGACTCTGACAGATTTTTTTATAATTTAATAATTTCTGTGAAATTATTTCCATAAAAGCAATCCAGACTGTGAGGAGAGCTTTAGCATTCCTGCTCTGAATTACCCAGGCCAGCTCTGCCTGTGTTCCTGCCTTGATGTGCTCTGTGCTGTGACACAGCCCTGGATGAGGTGACTGACAGGTATCCCCCATGGCCCTACACATATTAAGTCATCAAATGTCTTTTTTCCTTCTTTTTCTCTCGCAATTGAAAATCTTCAGCAAATTCAAGCTGACATTCAGAAGCTACTTGAGATGGAAGGAGTTGTGTATTTCAGCCAAATGCAATTTCCAAATGCAGTGAATGAGATTCACTCAGCTCCTGTGAAATTGGCAAGTGCTGCTGGATGCTCAAATCTTCCTTTCCTCATTATTCTAAGTATGAACTGGAGGGGCAGAGCCATGTTTTGCAAATTCCAATTGCAAATCCCGATTTATGTAACGTGCAAGAGGAGCACAGGGTCAATATTCCTGACACCATTCTGCAGGCAATGCAAGCAGAAAGACTCATGGACAACAGGACAGCAGATTGATTCCATGGCCCCCATGGATGGAGGAGGGAATGCCCAGACTAATCACAGGTTGGGAGCCCTTGGAACAGACAAATTTGTATGTGTGTTTATATATATTATATACTTATGTTATTCATATTATATAATATATAAATAAAATATATCAAAATAATATATGTAATTATATATTAATATATTTTTATATATTGTATATTAATATATATTTTATAAATTTTATTTTTATATTTTTATATATATGTAAATACGTATCTATATATTTGTGTATTTATATACATATACATACATACACACACACATATATATATATGTATTTATATATATTTACACATATGAAAATGCTACTCCTGTATATATACAGATATATATATAACAGACTGCCAGGTCCAGTGAAAATTAAATCCACCCACCCTGGCTGCAGCAGGTCAGGGGCTTCCTCCCAGCTTAGAGTCCCAAATCTGTACCTCCTAGGACAAGGTTTCTGTACAAATTCAAGCTCTGATTGCCAGGGCAGCACAATTTCCTGAAGCCACCTAAGGCCAGCTGTGCATCCCAGCACTCAGAAGTGATTCTGTCCCTGGTGGGATTCCCTCAGGCTGTGTGTGAGAGCTGGAGGTCCCCCCAAAGTATGTAAACAGCTTCATAATAATCATCAGGAGGATTATTTTCATATAGTCCCACATGTCCAATTTCCAGCTGGAATCCACCTGCACCCCCAGGCATCTCCATGCAAGCAGGTTTTCCAAAGGATCAAAGCAGTTTAAATGCCTCCATCCTTTAAAAGCAGTAGGCTGAACACACGTAATCTTACTTTATACAGAGAAAAATCCCTCTAAGGGTCTGTGTAAATGTGGTCCTAAACCAACAGTCAGCATCTGGGGAAAGCCCAGTACAACCAGTTCTGTCCTGGCTGGCAAGGGAAGACACAAAAGCACCTGAATGTTGTCACATCTGAGAAATGTTTATGCAGAGTGCAGGACCTGGCACTTTGCCCTGTAGAACTACAAATTATTTGCCTCAGCCCATGGATCCATATTCCTACATCCTCTAGGAAACCCCACAAAGCCATCTGCACAGACAAATTATGAGGAAAAAAGGCAGAAAAGCCCTTACACGTGGCTCATGGCATCCTCAAACAGTACCAGGTCCATGGCAGCATTGACTTCATTGTAGCTGTCCAAGGCTTCCACGAGGATCTGGTTCAGTTCCTCCCAGCTTGGAACTGGCCGGTAGCCAGGTTCCCCAAGGCCTTTGGCAAAATGGCAGTAAATATTCATGTGTTTGGCCTGCTCTAAAGTGTCCTCAATGTCCTGGAAAAGAGCAGAATATAGTAGAGAACAAATGCAGAAAATCCCACTGCAGCTCTGAGCCACCTTCTAAGGGAATTATGGTGTTCCAGCCTTTTTATGTCCCCACGGTTGCACCTGCTGTTGGAAAAGAGGAAACAGGCTCAGGAGTGAAAGAGTGGGACAGGAAAATCCCCAGAACTGATCTCCCTTCCAATAAACCCATTCTGTTCCATTCTCATCAGCATTAGACCTCACCAGACCTCCACACTTACATCATAGCATTTCTTCACCATCTCTTGCTGGATTTTATCAAAAGTGTCCCAATCCACTTCCTCAACCATCCTATCCCGGTACACCCGGTTTGACTCGTGCAGGTAGAGCTTCACTAGGTCTTGAGGCTGCTTCAGACATTCAGGGGTAGAGAACAGCAGGCCCTGTGGAAAGCAAAGACAGCCAGGAAACCCAGCTTGGTCCTGAGGGATTCCACCCCAACACCACCAGGCTGAGTTCCCCTCACAGCCACCTGCACCTGAGCAACCCCACACCAAACACCCAGGTAATGTGTCCTTTGTGAACCCAAAACTCCGAAAGTTGCCTCTCAATCCAGAGGGGTTTGAGTTGGAAGGGATCTTAAGGATCATGCCATCCCATCCCTGCCATGGCAGGGACACCTTCCCCTGTCCCAGGCTGCTCCCAGCCTCAATGTCCAACCTGGCCTTGGGCTCTGCCAGGGATCCAGGGGCAGCCACAGCTGCTCTGGGTAATCTCTGCCAGGGCTTCACCACCCTTTTCAGGCAAGGATTTCTTCCCAAGATCCCATCTAAACCTCCTCTTTGTCAGTAGGAAGTCATTCCCCCTTGTCCTGTCACCCTATCCCTTGCCCAAAGTCCTGCTCCAGCTCTCTCAGAGCCCCTTCAGGCCACATTCAGTTCACTTCAGAGCAATCCTAAGGCTGAACAACCCCAGTTCTCTCAGCCTTTCCTCCCAGCAGAGCTGCCTCATCCCTCTGCTCATCCTGGTGTCTCTCTGGGCTCCTTCCAGCAGCTCCAGCTCTTTCCTGGGAGGTCCCCTGGTGCTGGGACCCCTGAGCTGGACAAGTCTTTCAGGTGAGGTCTGACAAAGCAGCACAGAGGGGAAGAATCACCTCCCTCAACCTGCTGCCCACAGCCCTGGGAATGTTTCCCACCTTATTTTGAAGGTTTACACTCATTAAACCCATTTTAATCCCTCACCTAGCCTCCCCTGGCCAGGCTGGGTTCCTGCTCTCAGCATTGGGGCCCTGCAGAGCCAGGCACCAGCCCAGACACGTGGTTCTACCATCCCAGCCCCATGCCATGGGTGCTTTGTCAAGAAGGAAAAAAAGGTTTGGAAATGTTACTGGTGGCTATTTTTTCTCTTAATCAATTAATTCTAATTAGGTGCATTCTGCCTGCAGGAAATATCAGTTGCTGTCTGCTTAGCACAGTGTGTTTACCATGAACTCTATTAAAATGCATAAAAGAATTATATTTCAAAGAGGTGTCGCCTATACTAAGCCTATTAACAGCACACAGGGTTTTCAATGGTATGAATTAAACAGACAGCTTTTATTCCTAACATCTAATTATTTATACATTAAATATTAAATGCATTGAAAGCAATGTAAAGCAGGCCCTCTCAGCTCACTGGTCCATGGTTCAGATTGTTTGGGTTTCACATCTGTCATTACAGCTGTCAAATTATTTTATTTATTCCGGAAAAAAAAAATTGGTGAGAAAAGCTGACATCTCAAAGAGAGGAAGGAAAAACACATCAGATCCTAAACTGATTAAAATTTAAATTAAAAGTCACTCAATCTCTCTTAAAGGGACTGAATCTAAAGACCCCCACAACCCAAAAGCATGAGGGACACGTGGCTATGGGTCACTGCATCTGGGATGGAGGTGAGGCCAAGATTTAAAAGAAACTAACTAACAAAGAGGATGGGGAAGCCCTGGAAAGGAGAATGAGGAGCATTCCTGTCACCCTCTGGCCCAGAGCTGGGAACTGGCAGGATGTTTTCTGTTACCCCCCCCAACCCTGGCACAATTTGAAGCCTCCCACTAAAATGCTTCTCTCTGAAATGTTCTCTCCCTGCACCTCCCAAAGCCCAGATTAACTGGAAGGCAGGATTTCCCCAGACCCACATCTCATTTCTGAGCTGCTGCTGCTCAGCTGAGCACAGTGACAGCCCTGACTCCTTCCTGCCTCAGTGGAGTTATTCACTTGTTCAAGGTCCCAGATTCCCTGTCTGTCTCTGCTCCAGCTCCTGTCTGATGGCAGGCACAAGGCTCTGAACTTCCACATGCCCACTTGGTGAAGCAGATGTTATAACAAGGACAGTGACAAATGACCAGCTGGGGGTATAGAGCAGGCTACGGTGCTGACCCTCAGTGTGGCTGCTGAGGAATTTATCAAATTTTATTAATCAGTCTGAAAGGCTCTTTGAGCAGTAACACCAGCTGCTCCAAAGCACGAGACTGCTGGGGAAAACAGCAAAACAAAATCTCACCAAGGATGGGAGACAACATTTCTGGAGCTAAACAACTTCACTTTGGTACAGTGGCTGGTAATTCAGTTTCAGTGGAAAAATCAAAGCTGGTTTGGATGGATTTATCAGCTCTTTAACTACCAGCCTGCATGCTCAATGCTGAGCACCTGAGAGGACATGCTGGTACAGCCACCAAGCTGCCCTGGCTCTGGCAGAGTAGCTGAACAAAAACCAGCTGTGCTCTCCTCAGGGCCAGCAGCCCCCAGAGCCTCCAGCCCCTGCCCCATGCAGGAGGAGCTTCCCAGTGTGGTGGGGTGGTGCCATGGACCCCCACACCACACCACGGGGTGATGACCAAGACAAGCCCCGCTCCAGCACCCTGACAACAGCCACTGCTCAAAGGGCTGGGGTAGGAGCCCAAAGCTCTCTACAGCTTGTCCTTTTTCCAGCCAGAGGACACTTCAAACCCCTCAAAACCCAAGCCTCCTTATGGAGCTGTACATCCCTCCCCATTGGCCAGAGGAGGCTGGAAAGTAAATGGTCATGGGTGATGGCCCTGGAATCCATTCAAAACCAACCAGGGGTCAGTGAATGGCCCCAGGTCACCCCCTGAGCCCAGAGGACACCCATGCTGTGTCATTGCTAAATGAGACACTGTGTTTGGCTCACCAAGGGCCAGAGGGACCTCAGCTGTTTCTGACACAGGCATAAACTCCAAATGGCACAGGACAGGAGCTGCACTTACTTGGAAGATATTGGAGAGGTCTCTGAGGTTGAAGACGTAGTGGAACTTGACAGCTGTTGGCAGGAACGTGGCAGCCACCTTCCTGTGCAGCCCCAGGGCCAGGGCAATGAGCTGCTGGGCTGATTTTTGCACAGCCTCTGAGAAGTTCCCACTGGCCAGGTGCTGCACCAAGATGGTGCTGTAGATCCTGGACAAGGAGTCCTGGTCAGGGTTGGAGAGAGCGAAGACACAAAAGTGACGCTGAGGAAGAGAAAGTGAGAGGTGGAAAGGTCAGAGAGATGGAAACCATCTCCCATGTCAGTGCCATGGCTGGCCACAGCACTGAACAATCTCATCTGGGCTCCACTTCCCAGTAAAGGCTGGCCCAGGTGATCCTTTGAGGTCTGTTCCAACCTGGGATGCTCTATGATCCCATGACTTGAAGTCCACCATAACCATATCCCCCCTCCAATTCCCAGCAGAGGACAGCTGGCAGGAGACACCTTCTGCTGGCTGAACAAGGGGTTTTCAGTGGCATTTCACAAGGGAAGCTCAGTCCTCTGAAGAGCTGAGAGGTCTGAAGGCCCCACAGACCCCTGGTGAAGCCCAGGCCTGTCTTTGGTAGGAGCAGCCCCAGAAGGTGCCACCTCAAGAAGACCCTTTGTTGATGAGGAACTTGTAGAGCAAGAGAACACAGAATAGTTAAGGTTAGAAAAGACCTCTGAGATCAAGTCCAACCTTTGAACAAATCCCAAAGCATACTGTGGAGTGCCATTTTGGAGTTCATTGCTGAACACATCCAGAGTTGGTGACTCCACCACTTCCCTGGGCTACAAGTTCCCAGTGCCTGACCACCAAAAGACTTTCAAGAACTATGGTCCAGCAGTAAGTATCAGCTGGAGGAAGATAAAATCTGCCTTTCTGAACCAGAAGTTTTCCTGAGAGTGTGTGTCCAGCTGCCTGGGAACTTGTGATTTCTTCCTCCCACTGGGCAGTAAAACAAGAGGAAACACAAAGAAGGGAGAAATTCCATCAGGAATTAGCCACTTCATGCTGTTTCCACTGATTGAACGACAACAGGGTCTGAAGCCTTGAGCCTGAACAACCCACCCATGGAGCAGGGCTTTACCTGGAGCCGGGGGTTGATGGTGAAGCTCCCTGCAGTGGGGTTCATGCAGGACACGTACTGCACATTGCTGATCTCCTTCAGGGACAGCCTGCTCCTGTCGTACCTTGGGGCACAGCAAAAGCCACAGATGGTGACCACACACCCCTGGGTGTAACAATCCATGTCTGCCCAGCTAGCTCAGTCAGTACAGCATGAGACTCTGTCACTGTAGGACACGAAACAACACGAACGCACACGCCGCTGCTTTTAATGTGAATAAGAAGAATTTTTTGTTAGATGACAGCTTAAGGGAAATATGGGCTTCAATCAAATATTATGCTTTGTGGGAATCTACAAAATCAGAGGGTTTTGGGAAAGCTGCAGAAGGCCTCAGAAGCAGCAGAACTGTGATAAGAGCTAAGCAGCAGCCATGAGATTGGACAGCAGAAAAATTATTTAAACTGTAGAAAAGCAAGGACAAATAGAACAATGGTCTGTGTATAAACACTTGTCTAGAATAACTCCCTAAGCTGCAGAAAAGTTTATCTAGCAAGATATTAGGGAGTTCTAAGCTTACTAACAGAGATCTGTGCATTGTGTTTTAAGGCTTACAAGCAGGTATTGTATTTGAAATAAGCAAGCATTGTTTAACCAAAGGTACCTGTGCTCATAGTGGTTGGATGGAACTACTGTCAATGTGCTTTTGCTTTGCGTGATTGGTCAAAAAACTTTTAAAGTGAGTTGTAACATTAAATTCTGTGTCTGCTGCCTGGAATGTGAGCTGCTGGCATCTTCCCATTGTCATAACCATGGAGTGAGACTGATGCTGGAAAATCAAACAGCTCAAGGCACGTTCTACAGTGGTCCCGTCCCATTGGTGGTTTGTACACAGACCCCAGCCAGCATCAATACTTCTGCTTTTTTGCTTTCCTTGCTTTTAGCAGTGCAGATTTGCCAGTTAGCCACCCCAGAGTAATCCAGCAGCCTCGTACCAATGTCCATAGTCCAGGTGCTGCCTGAGCAGGGTGTGGGGCTGCACGGTGCCATAGGCGTCCACCTGGGGCATGTTCAGGTCATCCATGAAGTACACCAGCCTCTTGGTGCCTGGGGGGCCGTAATTCCTGCCAGCCTTTTTCTCCAGAGGCTTCTCCAGCACACCTGCAGGGGCAGGAGGGACTGGGGTGAGTGCTCAGCCTGCTGCAGGGAGCCCCAGCCCTCCCAGCTCACCTGTGAGGTTTGTGGCTTTTTAGGAAGGAAGAGCACGAAGAGAAAACTCATTTGGAAGCTCTGGAAAATTCCCATTTGTTTTAGCAGAAGGCTGAGGTTATGTGCTGCTCTAGACTGTAGCATATTGGGAGTATTTACAATGCTGGAGTGATATTTAATGCAGATCACCCCACACTGCTGCATAAAATGTTTTATAGGTTATTGATTTCTTTCACTGCGGCCTGAGCAACCTTTACTGCCTCAGGAAGGGGCAAAGCAAACAGCAGCAGCTTTTCTGGGGTGAATTTCCTGCCAGAAGCTTTCCTGGAGCCCATCCTCACTCCCAGGTTCTCCCAGCCCTCCTGGAGATGGAGGCAGAATTTATTTCACTGTCAGAGTTTTGGGGTTATCACCACTCCTGTAAGCAGCAGAAAGGCAAGGAGCAATCCTTTGTAATTAGGGACAACTGGGAGTTTTGATAAAAAATTTGTGCAAACTCACACTTCAGCCATCTCTTATCAAGGGCAAAAGTTATTAGGGAAAATTTATATTCTGGGTTGTTTTATTTTCAGACCACGAATCTTTTAAAACCCCATTTGTTTCCTGCTTGGGTGCCCTGCAGACAGCCTGGTTACCCACTAAGAATTCAGCTGTTTTCTTGTCACAGACACTTCTGCACAAAGCCATGAATTGTGCTTAGAAAAATGATAGATTTTTCCTCAGTGGAGTCTCTCTCCCCCTTCAATAAAACCACAATATTTGAAATTTCTGGTAGCAAGTCAAATTAAGTGTTTCAAATAAGCATTTAATTTAAATTTAATTAGGCCTTAATTAACACATAAAATCAGCCCTTTTCGAGGTTAAACAAGGATGCAGGAGATTCATCATAGTGAAATGCAATTACTGGGGATGAAGTGACATGTTTGTGGAAGTTGCATTTTAATTCAAAGCTTATCCCACAATAAGCCTGCAGGGTCCCTGCTCTGGGCTCCTGACACATCCCCATCAGTCCCTCAAACACTCAGATTTGGCAAGTGTGGCCCCTCTCACCCTGATGGCCAAGGGGGAAAGAGTACCCAACTCCAAAAAACACCATTTATTCTCATTTTCTCAAGGCAGATCTGGAGGGAGAAGGTGGGGAATGAGAGCAGGGATGGAGCTGATGGAGGAGCAGAGGTCCAAGAGGGCATGGACCAGCACACCAGAGGTCCAGGCTCCACAGGAAATGGGATTTGGTCACAATAAACCAAAGAAAATCCCCAAAATGTGCTCAGGTTTGGGTACACAGAGAATCTGGCTCCTGTTAACCCCCATGCACATGAAAATCTGTAAGCTACAGGTCCACAATTATTGTTTGAAACACATCCCTGTGCTTCCCCTCAAGAATGCAGCTCTGCACCTTAAAAAATCTCTGTCCCAACAGGCACCATGACTAAAAATTCCTAGCTTTCAGGTTGGCTCTTGGTTGCAAAGTAAATAAAAACTAGAATCCCAAACTGCTTTGGATTCACATTTTACAAATCTAAAGAGGCACCTGCTGGGGATGAAAAAAAAGCAGCCAACTGACAAACTCCACAAAAAGGGACAAATTAACTAAAAAATGAGCAGTGGGGAAGGATGCCAGGCAGCATAAATCACACTTCCCTGTGATGAAGATGTGCTGGGCTCTGCAGAGGAAGGAAGGGGAGGGCTCAGCCTGGAGCTCAGAGCAAAAGGGACACCCTGTACCTGCCCCACACCTGCACATGCTCACCTGCGCAGGTGGGGAACACGCAGCTGAGCCCCCTCCCAAGCCAGGGCACTCCCCACTCCAGGAGGAAAAGGAAAAAGGCAGATTGCTCCCATCACACAGCCACACTTTTGGCTGTGAGAATTGCCAAAATAGGAGGTTTTACCCATTGTTTTTTTTCTTGAATTGCAAGAAATTCCTCAGGGGTCTGAGCCCCCCAGGCCAGCAAGCTCTGTGCCCCTGGGCAGGGGGTGGCACTTGATGTAGGACATGTTGGGCTGTGGCAGGAGAGGAACACAGCCCCAGGAACAGGCCTGGCTTCCAGCCTGCACGTGGCCATTAGCACCATCCTCACTGCTAATTGGGATGCAGCTCCCATCATTGCACACAGAGGACAGTTTGGATCCTTTCCAAAAAACCCATCTTATTCTTCAATTCCAGCATGTTAAAAACACTTCAAGTCAAATACAAGCCATGGAAACTGCAGCAGATTGAAGCCTGGGCTTTGGCACAACTCTAAATCAGAGTGGTGGGGTTAAGAATGCAAATCCTCAGGTTGGAAAACATCATCTCCACAAAAGCAGGGCTCTGCTGAGCAGAGAGATTCACTGTGGGGTTGTGAGTGTGCCCACAACAACATGGACAACTCACCCAGGGGTCTTTTCTTCAGATCCCAGTGCACATCCAGCTCCAAACCACAATGGGTGCCCCAGGAACATCACAGAAACACAGAATCACAGAATGGCACAGGATCACACAGAATGGCACAGAATGCTGCAGGATCACACAGGATCCCACAGAATGATGATGTCACACAGAATCACACAGAATGTCACAGAATCACACAATAGCACACAATGACATAGAATCACACAGAATGTCACAGAATTAACCAAACTGGAAAAGACCTTTGAGATCATCGCATCCAATCTGTGACCTAACACCACCCTGTCAACTAAACCATGGCACTGAGTGCCACATCCAGGCTTTGTCAAACACCTCCAGGGACACTGACTCCACCACCTCCCTGAGCAGCCCATTCCCATCCCCAACCACCCTTTATGCACAGAAATTCCCCTTGATATCCAACCCTAACCCCCCCAGCACAGTTTCAGAGCTTACCTTGCAGCATGGCAGAGGTGGTGTAGTAGTTAAAGGGCACCTTCTTGACCAGGAAGGC